CTCTAACAAATTAAAAAATACAAAATATTTTGATTTATATTCGAAATAAATATATTGATGCTGAATATTCAGTTATTATTTAATATTTAATGTTGTTTCCTTTTTTGTTTTTGTAGACAAATTATACCAAAAATATTGACGAAGCAAATCTCGGAATATATTGGATAATTTAATCTCGTTATTTGTTTTTGCAAAAAATTAGTGAAGGATCCGAATCAAATATATTTATTTAATTGTAGTATTGTTTATTTACTAAATTACCCATGTAAAAATTCATTTAGTTAGTCTTAAACTACCCTCACAATGTTGTAGTTCAAAAAATGCTTCCCAATTAATAGTATAGATGATTCCTTATCTAGTGTGACTCAAAAGTGCAATAACTTACGAAAATGAGTGTTGTAGATGATCATAAAGCTGTCACCAATTCGATCGCATCTAAAAAGAATGTTTAATTAATTAACTAATTATATATTCGTGTGGAAAACAACTAAGTTTATGGATCAATTAGTTACAGAGTTCACGTTAATATATTCACTTGTATAAATTAAATGAAAATAGATCAACCAAATAAAAAAAAGAGAGCAACAAGACTCACATCAGAAGAAAGGTCACGTTGGAGAATGTGATGAGATCAAAAAGAGTATGGGAAAAACTTTGTTTTCACTTTTAATGTTTCTTTCTCCTCTCTATTTTATCTCTACTTGCACGCTCACAGATCTCACCTTCTAGCTATTTTTCTTATATTTAAAACAAATTAAGATACCAATTGTTTTATAGCAGTAACCTGGATCTAATTCGATTAATCTCTCGAAGATGTGCTAACTCTTGTTGAACAAGCTTATCATGTTAAAAAAACTAGACCGATAAAATTAACTCCTAACCCGAGACACGAATGGCCCATGCACAACTCAATTATTTGTCAAGAGAATGAAAAATAGAGCCTCTTCGATTTTACGTCCTGAAATTCTTGAGTCTCAAGGCCTAGACCATCACACACGCATGCGGATTCGTTCCAATATATATATTGCATCAACAACAAAATTATTGTAATTTGTGTCAATGTGTCTATTTGTACTGTATATTGATTGTCCTTGGAGTCAGTATAATGGAGCATAAACTAATGGGTACAATATGCAAATATATATATAGAAACTAAGGTTGTATTAGTTACGTACATGGTCTCTACTCTCTACTCTCTACTCTCATTTATAACAAACTACCTGGTGAGTGGTGACCACTTATATACACCATATATATGTACCAGAAGATTAAGAAATGATGGGCTCTCTATCCATTATCCAACTTGACCTTAGATCTTAAAAAGCTATATTGTGTTAATCTATTATATTTTGTTTCTTTTTAAAAGTTTTGAAAGAATTTATGTATTAATTTCAAAAGTATAGAAGGGTATTAGGTGTAGGAGCTAAATTTGTTTTACATCTGTTACCAATCAGGGTTCCATCTTCGCCAATCGCTTTCATAACACATCACTTTATAATTATAATATTAGCGAAGTTTTACTACAAATTATTTATGATTTTATTAAACTAGAAAATTGATAAATAAATATATATGAAAGATGGCTATATAGAAAATATATGAAGATTAAGTAATTTGTAGCATAATCTATTAATTTATTAAGATATAATAATTTATTAATCTATTATTTTATTGGGAAAAATATCGAAAAATACGCCAACTTTCAAATTTGGAACGATTAAAGCATGAATTCTCAAAATGTCACTTTAATCACAAAGTTTTTGTTGATTTTTCCATAAATAGCTAAGTTTTCGTTGACCTGGCCAAATTAGGCATCGCTTTAAGTCCCAGTTAGAACAATGCTAACGCTGTTAACTTGCCGTTTACAGTCACCGTTTAACCAAAACGACGATGTTTTCTTCAGAGACTGAATTGTCTCTGCTTCTATTGGGCTCTTCTCCAATGGTATCGATGTCGTTTCAATCTCCGATGGTATCGACACTGCCTCATCACTCTCAACGGGTTTTGAATTGTCTCTGATTCTTCTGGGATCTCAATCATCTCAGGTTCTCGATCGTTTGCTCTGCCTTCTTGCTCTACCAAAGCCAGCAACCTCCGCGACCGACGAGGATTCCAATTTCCTCCATGCGTCTTTACTATCGGGATCAATAAGCAAGAGAACGAGAGAATTTGAGTTTTTTTTTCTAGGGTTAGGGATCGATTTGGGAATGAAATCGATTTGAGTGTTTTGACATTCTTTTCTGACTAAAACGACAACGTTTTCGTTTTAGAAAAATGTCATCATTTTGGTTAAACGGTGACTATAAACGGCAAGTTAACAGCGTTAACGTCGTTGTAACGGAGATTTAACGCGATGCCTAATTTGGCCAGATCAATGAAAACTTAGCTATTTATGGGAAATTCAACAAAAACTTTGTGATTAAAGTGACATTTTGAGAGTTCATGCTTTAATCGTCCCAAATTTAAAAGTTCGCGCATTTTTCAACATTTTTTCCTTATTTTATTGCTTCTATCAATGGTATGAGATGTAGTTATGGTTTATAAATCAAAGTTTGTTTTCAGTTTTTGTTTGTGAATTAGTGTACATATAATTGAATTACTATTACTGGTTGGCACAAAAAAAATTCGTGTGCTGATCAAGTTTCTATACATTAAAACGATGATACTCTTACTTAGATGCCATGCTTCTCTCAACACTTGAAGCTTTGATTTTTACATTTACCTTTTCTCAATGTTTTGAAGTTTTACTATATAACTCTACAATCTTCCTTTTTTTTTTTTTTGTATTATCATAACTGATTTCATTCATTTGCTTTCGCTTAATGGGATACCATTTGAAACATACAACATAAGCACAAAAAACAAATCAAGAGAAATATGCATATCTTTCTACTATGATAGGTTTCGAATAAAACTGCCAAAACATAACAAAGTTGCATCCTTTGATAGGATAGGCGATGCTAAGGCTATGCCCTGACTATTGTTCATGATTAAATAGATTTCAAAAGAAATTAAAGATGGTCGTAGTTGGTCAATCATATAAAATATTTTTTTGTTATGAGAAAATAAAAAGATAACTCTTTTTTTTGGGGGTCAAATATATAGAAAAAAGTAGAGAACAAAGGCCTTAAAAGGAGGGTCCTTAAAAGTATGGGAAAGCATTATTATTTATTTTAAAGTTGTCTAAGAAGAGGACAAAGGCTTTAGAGCAGGGGAATATATGCTTTCTCAAATTTAGGGCATCACTGTCCAACAGACTTTCCCCATTCCTCATCTTTATATTTTCCTAACAATAACAAATTAAAGATCGTATTTTTCATTTTAGTATCATTATAATTCGATTTTCAGTTTCATATGTATACAGAAACGCAGCAAGACACGGGCACGTGTTGTGTTTGAGGTATTATTACATGGAATGGGACTTTTTAACGCTGTTCAACAATCCATCTTTCACTATGTAGCTACGATCTTTAAGATTTATAAATTATGAATTTTGATATTTCGTATATTTTTGATGTAAGAAAACTTTTAAAAAGTTAACAAAATATCGTATGGGTTTATTACTATAATATATCCACTCAAGCGAAGACGGCAAAGACTTCTCCACGTGGTCGATCTATTGAACTACTAATCTCCATAATAACTGATAATTCATGTGCTAAAATTAAGTAAATATATTATGTGAATTCAGTCAATGTAAAGTAAGAATAAACAAAGACATGTTTTGTTTGATGCTTTAAAAATATTAGGATTCTATAGTAAATGACACCGCCGTGGCAATAGGATGGGCCTGTCGGTGTTGGTGGTAGGACGGACGGATGTATTGGGGTGGTGATGACGGTGGTAGCGATATTTAAGTGAAGAATAATGAATTTTAATTGATTAATTCTGATTTAATTTCTTGACTTAAATATATATTTGTGAAGATGTGTGGGAGTGAGTGGGACACAGAGAAAAAAAAAAGTAACTAATTTATTGTGATTAGTGGTTCGACTCGTCATCACAATTAGAACAAAGGTTTGGGAGTTATGAGTTATGACCATTTGAAGAAACACATATACCTGCATATATTCTGTCCAGAAGAACCACAACGATCGCTGAAGAAGGAATCCACGATGCCTACAAGCCAAAATGGCCTTCATGTTTTTATGGTTTAGGGTTGATGTTTATTGTATTGTGAACTTCTGTTTTTTTTACATTGTGAACTTCTGTTATTCAGCTATAATATACATCTTTTTACTCATATGGAGTATTTTATGCATATATCCATGTATTCATTGCGTGAATTAGACAAACAGCCTATGAAGTAATTTTGGAAAGTATATAGGTCTAGTAAGCTACACATTTGCTTGATTTGAGATTTTGTGTGCTGTTGCTTAGGATTTTACGTTTGGCATGACCAAATGGGAAACCAGTATGTTTGAAAAATGGCAACCAAGACTAACCCATTCGATAACGGGTTTAGAAAAAGATTTAACATAAGACATGTTAATGTTAGAGTTCATAGTAGAAAATATTAAGAGCTTCCCCAACTAGGAGAGCAAAGTATTAATGTTAGAGTTCATAGTAGAAAATATTAAGAGCTTCCCCAACTAGGAGAGCAAAGTATTTCATAACAAAAATGTTATGATTTGCACAATGTTATGGAATTTCGAAACAAAATAAGTATTTCGAGAATTAGAAAAAGAGAGAAAGAAAAAAAAAAAGTCTGTTTCGAACCCAATCAATGCAATCAGAGGCCCAAAGTGTTAGCCCCTTATCTTTGTCAGTTTGTCTACTGAAATTCGAGGAGCTTTGACCCAAATTAGTGACACTACGACCCATGACAAAGAAACTCGTTAAGTATTCCCAAGCGTTGAAGAACAAAAGACAATTTAGAAGTAAACTAGAAACTCTTTTAAACCAACAGAAGATAGTACAAAGTTCTAAGGAACACTAATGAAGATCAATAACAAGGGGACGAGGCAACAACGGTTTTTCCTAATCAAAACTACAAGAAAGTAACCCCAAACATTTTATAATCTAAAGGAGTTGATTCCACTCATTTCAAGTTCCAAATTAGAACAGCCAAATGAAAAATCCATCACCAGTAAACGCAGAGAAGCAGACGCAGAAACCACATAGCAGCAATTATGATCTTGAGTAAACAACTGTTTTATGCTCCTCCCTCTTCCTTCTCCTCCCGTTCTCTGTTCCATTGCTCAATCCTTGCCCTCCTCTCCTCACTTCCTTCTCTCCCACCAACCGGGCTCCCTCCTCGTTTAGGGCTTGCTTGTCTCCTACCCCTTGATCCATCCCTTTCTTGCCTCTCCGACCTCTCACTGCTCCTTTTCCCGCTTCCATGACGGTAAAACTCGCGATCTCTGTCCCTGTGACTGAATTCCCTGTGAGGAGGATCACGTCGGTCATACTCTCTCTTGTTCCTGGGGCTAATGCTTCTGCTCCTGCTCCTGCTTCTGCTTCCCCTGCGGTATGACCGCCGATATCTCCCAAAGAGTTTTCTCCTTAGTTCCCTCGAAACAAGCTTCACATGCATGAAATTACAATACCCACCACGGTTGCAGTTGTTTTCTTCATACTGCCTACACGTGGCTTCGCGGAAATCCGTCACAGGAGAGAAATCCGCAATGATGGGACGTCCTGAATAAAACCTACCTTGCAGAGCCTGCAAAGCAGCTGCAGCCTGATCCTCTTCCTTAAACTGAACATATACGTTGCCAATCATGTGGTCAGCAAGGTTGTCACAAATGTTGAGGCTTTCTATCTCGCCAAACTTTCCGAGTTCCTCAAAAAGATCTTCAAAGAAATCCTCAAAGTGCTCTTGGATCTTACGCGGGTCAAGCGGTTGGCCCTGAGCATCAACACCAGGGGTTATCATGTCAGGCCTTTGGTACATGTTGGAAAGAAGGAGTGTTGGGGAGATGGTAGGACGGTTGTGAAGACGAGAGCACCGGTCACCATGACGGCAAGCGCCAATCTTGAAGTAGAATGGGCAATTCACTCTGTCCTTCTCAGTACCAAAAATTGAAGCCAAATGCTCCGCCATGGCAGAATTTCCACCCTGATTTACAAAATCAGTAATTGAACAAAATATATATCAACATATAGACATATATTGAAAAGAGATTGGTAGATATCAAAAACATCAACAAGAAACTTCACTAAAGCCAAAATTTTCTCTACAAGAGAGTAAATTATGTTATGAAAGCGAAAAGATTTGATAACTATTGAAGATAAATCGCATAGATCTTAGTCAGCTATTGAATTCAGTGGAAACAAGAGAGACAACAAACAAAGAATCACACATAGATAGAACCAAAGTAATAAATCAAATATTCAGAGACATGAATATAAAATCGAAAACAGAGCAAAATCAAAAGAAAAGAAGAGACAAAGAAACACACAAAGGAGCCAATAAACACAGAGACGAAGCAGCGCTCCAAAATAGAGCTGAGAGCCACAGAGACAGAGCCGTAATAGATCACGAAAGCGAAGAAAGAGAGAGAGAAGGCGTACAAAATGTTACAGAGATTGAGAGATCTGAGGGTGAATAGTCGGCGCCGGTGGAAGGAATTGCCGACGGGGAGCTGCCGTCTCACTCGCCGATGGATGATCTAGGGTTTGCTTTGTTCGCGAGTTGGGGGAGAGAAAGAGAGAGACAGAGAGAGGAATCTCATGACATGATGATTTATATTTAATCGAATAAAAATATTAATAATGGAAACTACAACCCGGTTTGGTCTAAATTGTTCATGCGGTTTTGGTTATGGACCGGTTTATACGATCCGTATAAGCTAGGTGTAGTTAATTGAACCGGTTAATTACTTTTTTTTTTTTTCTCCTCAACCGGTTAATTACTTATACGATCGGTTTAAGGTAAGATCATATGATGATTGTGCTCGTCTCAACACAACACAGACCTACTAGTAATTCATCAAAACCAAATTACTTAGCAATGAGAGAAGAAAGTCAAAAAACAATTTGAACTTTAGAACGAAACCAAAAACATAGATTCCAGATATACAACGATATGAAGTTTGCTAGTATTATAACATGTGAATTGACACTTCTATACATAATCTCTCTCTAAGAGAACAAAGACCAAGAATCTTGAGAGAATCCACTTTGGTCACACCTGAGAGGCTTAACTTAGACAAAAAGCACCTCACTCGGATTTCTATATAATGCTACACTGCCTCTCTCATGAGTCTCTATGGAATCTACTCCAAGAGAGATTACATCTTCATGCTGCTCAACAATGGTTTACCAGATACCAGCCTGACTATAGGACTGCAGAGGGTAGCTGTGAAACGGATAAGCTCTAGCCATATGGACCGGCTTTACGGCTGCAGGTATTGACCAAGTTAACTCTCTTCTTGGAGGTGGAGGTGGAGGTGGCATATTCCTCCTTCTGTCCACTTCTATCAGTGTGCACATCTCCTGGATTACCTCTGTCATCGTGACGAAAACATCCCATTATTTTAATCAACCGCTAAAATCAGTAGCAGCACATCTTTTACCTAATTCCAAACTCAATATGTGCACTTGGTAAGAACCTAACATGCCTCTTGAATTGGAGCTTTAGTAACGCCTATTCCTAGAGCTAACATTATAGAAACACTACATCTAACTTGAACAAATGACTGCAATAATACCAGAGAAAAAATTTAGCGTTGAACAGCAAACCTTTTAATAGCTTAGTTGTAACTCCAAACTCCAACCACCAATCTCTCCTGCTGCCTACTTTCGCATTCTGAAACGTAGCAGCTAGGTGCACGGTGGCTGTTGCAATAACATGGGGTTTGTACTGCAAGCATAGTGTGGTTCGAATCCTACACACAACGCATTATAAGATTATTCAAACTCAATGTAGGGGAAAATCGCGCAGATACTATTATTAACAAAGGTCTTTACCAGTCATGCACAAAATTCCATGCAGCTGTTGCAAGGTCAGGCCAAGCATTCAGTCTATTCAAAGCCGCAGCCAAAGGTCTGTAGGGAAGTTCAATGTCTAAATGGAAAGCACTTGTGCTCAGCAGAAGACTCTCCCCGGCCAAAATAATTTCTTTAAATTCATGGTAACATTCCTACAGGCAGAGCAACAAGTAATAAATTAGCAAAATGTGCAGAGCGAATTTACCAATGCATAGATATATATATATATATATATATACTTACAGTTTGATGGATTCTAATTGAGGCAGAAGGATCCCACTCATAAATTATTTCATAAGATGCTACAACGACACTGGACAGTTGACATGGCTCATCTTCAGCTTTGCAAGCGAGGAACAGACTGGCAGTTGCTATAGTCTGCAAATCACCAAGTGAGAAATCGAAGAGGATATATTAGCATCAATCATATACACTTTTCAATAATCAGAAAGACTGAATAAACTATTTAATAAGCACTTTTGAATTTATTTCATCAACATTATATTATTGCTCATAACCCAAATTCTGTTTGAAGTATCAATATCTCCGTTACAGAATACTCAACCATTCATTTTTTCCTGTCAGCTCCAACGAATGCAATTGATGAACCATATGAATACTAAAGTATTCTTACCTGCCAGTCATTTTTTGCATGAGATTGGCGCATGTAAAACCTGTGGCACATCACCATTGCACATGCTATTGTAACCTGGGACCTGAAGCAATGAGATTGTCAAAAACCTTCAACATGAACAAGGTCAATGTTATGATATCTTGGGCAGCAACTAAAAGCTAGACATCACTTTCACCGAAACCAGCATTTATAACATGAAACTTTTCCGACACACGTGAGTAATGCAGAAGACAAAAATACACCAGTACCTATGATTAGATGATTCAAAAATAGTGGGCCGGAGAGAGACGTGCACTTGCTCAGAAAACTAAGAACATCAGTTGAACAGCTGAGGGTTTTGATAACCCAGCAGAGAATTACAAACACAAAGACATATATCAGAAGGGCATGTCTAAACAGGTGAACAGCTCCCAAGCAAATTCACAACAGATGCAAATCCTCCCATTGCCGATGAGAAGTGACAAGTGAGTCAATATATGATGCATGGACACCAAATTTTGACTATAATTACATAATTCTCCATAAATATGTAGACAAAATGGAGAAACTATAGTTGGAGAACCTCCAGACCACCTCCCACAGTGGCCCTACGACAAAATTCAACAGTTAGGCTATCCATTGTCATGCATTAGGCACCCTCTTTAGCTAAAAAATGTAGCAGGAAATATCAGAAGACAAATAAGATGTCATAAGTAGATGTCTAGCAAAAAAAACAAAGAACAAACACTACTTCCTAATCCTAGATGATAAAACAACAAAGAATACTATTGTGAGCTTACACATGAAGCTTCATGCCAAGTCTTTGAAGGAAGGTGCAATACGAAGACCGTAAAAACGACTCCTTCACCAGGTCAATCCCATCTTTTCTGGATGGAGAGAAACGCTCAATCTCTTCCCTGCTGAAATACCACTTGGAGGTTTCGCATTGAGGGGATTCCAACAAAGATACGTGTCTCGCCTCCGATTCAAAATGTTGTCGAGACCGCTTTCTCGGATGCTCCTCTCCCATAGTAGTAATCTTCTTCCACCAAACAGCAACAATTCACCAATAATGTTTCGATCTTTGAACTAACAAAACAATCCCAATTCAGCTGCAGATATTGCTGACAAAGTATCTGCAATTAGCAAACACCATCGAATAAGACACCAATTTGTACTTTCTCATGGTTATTAGTTTAAAACAGCTTTGGAACATAATACAACACAAATCTGATCTCAGCTTCACATATTATTGATTTTGACTCATATCGCAACATCAACAAATTTCCAACAGATTATATCAAATCACGGAATATTAAAATCGATGAGGCGATTAATTAAATTCACGAAATCTGCGAAACAGATCGAATAATTACGAAACGTGAAGGATTTAAGGATGAGAGTGGCCGATTGATTCAAGAGATGATATCAGAAGGAAAACGAAATCGAATCTAACAAAGGGAAAATAGACGAAATTGGATAGCAAATTTTGAGATTTCACTAACCCAAATTTGCTTGGTGAGGGAAAAACAACTCTTTGAAACTTGAAAATTTTCTCTGCTGCTTTTTTTTCTTTTCTTTTTGTCTGTCTGAAACTTGGGAAAAAGATCTTTGCGGTGTTGCGACCTAAAATAAATATCTAACTCGAGTTAGAGGATGGATATGGGCTTTGACGTAAGCAATTCAAATTCGATAATGGATATGGGCTTGGACTTATAATTGTAGCAATTCAAATTCGAGTCTAATATATACTTTTTGGATGGTCATTTGCATTTTATTTTTTAATATATACTTTTAATTATGTAATGTCACCGCATTACGGAAATTATAATCTTTTCCAAAACATAGATATCGTCTCGTCTAATTTACACACCACGCTAACATTATTTGAACTTTTGTAGAAAATAACACTGTAACCATTAGCAATTTCAATCATTGTTAAAGTTTATGTGATAGAGTTGAATTACCAAATAAAAATGTCACCAAAATTGGATATATTAATATTTATTTGAACTTCGACTTCGATATCAGAACCGTTGAGCTAAAGTTGATGAACTAAACTAGAACATGTACTATTCGGCCTAATTCATCAATCAGTCAATATTTTCAAACTCATCTTTTGAATTTAGCATATGAAACCAATCAAAAATCGAAAAGTGAGCTACTCTTTAGTTTTTATTGGGGTTCGGATGTCTATTTCTTGTTTTCGAATTTATATATAAGAAACTATTTCAGTACATAAAACAAAACCAATCAAAAATCGACAAGTGAAGAACTCTTTTATTATAGACCATTGAAATGTATAAAGATAACTTTATTTTGCACGAGAATTTTCATCTTCGTTGTCTTTCCCGTCTAAAAACTTAACCATGCAATACTCTAGTCTCTTCACCACATCCTCTGGCAGGGATATTTGAACCCTAATGGCATCACTATCCCTCGCGACCGGTAAAAATAAACAGTAGATATCACTCGTCAAAGGACCCATATACATTGGCTTTCCTCCTCCCAAGTCCAACTCCTCTAATCCCAGTTTCGCCCATTGTGAAATGACCAAACTGCATGAGACGTCCGTTTTCACTGTTTTATCCTCCAGTAAATCTATCGTTGATCTTACATATTCGTCGGTGATTCTAGATTTCGCCTCTTGTATCGATTTTACCGCATGGTAAATATTACCATTGACTAGGTCTTGTACCTTTGTCTCGGCGCAAGCTAGTACGAATCCATTACCGTAGTACCCTTGGGGAAGTTCTGGAGTTAGTCTTTTCCTCATATTGACAGAGAATAAGAGTTTAACCAGCATGGTCAATGGTAACTCAAGAGATTGTGCCCACGAGCGCCAAGTGTGAGCCGCTAGTGCCTCGAACGTGGTGCATTTTAGCGAAGGAGCGCATGTTTTCTTTAAGCGTACGAGATGAGATTGGGTGAAGGTTAAGGTGGCGGGAGCCAATGGTTGGGACTGTAAATACTTACAAATGTCGAAGGTGGAGCTTTTGTCTACGGTGGTGGTACTGGTGAAACCGGGATGTGAGTGTGTGACACGGGGAGGGTTTCGCGGATCTAACACGTGACGGGAGTGAAATGGTCGGGTCGGAAGATGAGCTTGGCTAGTGGTCTCATGGGCCCATGCATGTAGGAACTGCGATGTGCCAATGCCGTCGCAGAGGCAATGATTGATCGCGGTGCAGAGGATCATACCCCCACAACGAAGATACGTCACCTAAGACATTAATATTCGTAAGATATGAAAATATCGATTTATTATTACATTCGAGTATCTTTTAAGCGTTAATAATCAAACTTTTATACATAAGTTCATAGAAATGCAGTTTTAATAAAACACATAACATGAGTTGAACAAAACGACTTATAGAATGAACTAATTCAATGCAAGAAAAAAAGTTTTGTTTTTCGTGTAAACAAGAAAAGAAAAAGAGTATGATTGAACAGACAAATTATTCTCTATGCGCCCTTCTTTTTCTTCCATATAATCTCTTTATTAAAGTTCACGTATTTTAAGAAGAAATGTGGTAGAAAATAACTTTATGTTATTGATACATCGAATGCTTATGCACGACCAGTAAAAGTATGCATTTCTTATTTGAAAAGAACAAAGTGGCCGAATCAATTTAGGAGTCAGGAATTTAAAAACAATTTAGATTATTCCTACGAATTATATATTTAAACAGAACAGTCGATCCAACTAACTTTAAGAAACCTAAAATATTCGAGCTACGTTTATCCCCCTCCAAAAACAAATTCGAATATAATTCTTTCACGAAAATTAACTAATATGGAAACAATATGAGTCATGGTTTTAACTTTTGAAATTGAAATCATAAGTTTTCCAGCAAGAAAAAAATAAATAAATGAAATACGAACCTGTATGACAAGAGGAGGAATATCCAAGAAACTCTGAGCTTGAACCTTGAACAAGAGCTTCCTCCAAGACTTGTTTGGTTTAGGAGAAAGCTGAACAAAATCTTGACAAGTTATATCCATGAAAGCTTCTGCGAAAACCGCGCCTTCCCCATTACAGTCTACCTCGAGCTTGCTCCCTTCATCGGAGACTCTTATCCGACCCGCGAAAGGGTAGTAATCAACTAGAACCCTAGAGAGAGAATCTTTCAGGGTGAGAGGGGAAATAGATTTTTCGAAAAGGTAAAGATACTTGATAGAGAATCTGAGAAAATGATGGTCGTCGAGGTTGGAAAGGTAGAGAGAGTGATTTGGTGTGGGAGATGAAGGAGTTATTAAGGTTGGTTGGTTTCCCTCGTACAAGCAATCCGGCAGTTCTTGCATCTTCCGTTTATTTTTTCTCTTTGTGTTTTTGAGAGAGATAGAATAAAATGGATAGAGATGGTGGAAAGGGAAAGTAGTAAGCAAGAAGAGATCTATAGGTGGAGAGCTAAATTGGTGGTAAAAGTTGGAATCCGCTTAAACAGGGGTCAGTCTTCAACTATCTCGGACCCATGCCAAATTTAAGTATTTCTTATTATTGTGTAATTTGTTTGTTATCCTTCATTATAGTATTTCTTAATCTGTAATTTGTTTGGTATCCTTCATTATATATAACCCTTATAATTAGGCCTAATCATTCTATTATATACATTGATTGTTATAACCAATATCTTACAAAATCATCACCAATTTTTCACTAACTTTGGTCATGGTCTTGATCCGTAATTCATTTCTTAGAATTTTAAGAGCGAAAATTACAAAGGATGGACCATGGTCATCGATAATGACAAATTTCGAACGTCCGTAACATAAATCCGTCAGTGATTTGTTGGAATGTAACTACACATACTATAAATGATGGATTTTTAATATTTTTGACACAAAAACTTATATGTCTATTTTTGAAACTAGGCATGTACTGCTTATACCGTTAAAAATAGATTAACAAAACAACTGACGTCGAGAAAATTTTGATCAAGTTTTCATACATACAATACTAAATCTAATTCTAGTTGGAAAAAACAAACACCACAACAAAAAAATTAATCGCTTAATCAAATATTATGTCGCCAAGCTTGATATTGTTTGAAGTTTGGTATTAAAATAAACCAAATTTTTGTAAAACGACTTTAAACTACACATATTTTAAAATTGTGTCTAATATTTCTGAACTGTTAAAACCAAACGAAATTTAATAAATTTTTGTACCATATGTGTGTTTACGATGTAAAATGTGCATGTTAAATTTAAAAGTAGTTACATATGACTTATAAATATTTCTATTACCACTGATTTAAATAAATTTCTTATGTAATTAGAACCTAGAAGTCATTAAAGTATAGTGGATAGTAGGTAAGTAGAGACCATTATCCCTTATTGACAAAAAGAACAAAAAAGTTAACCGTTACATGATGATAAAACTTAGGAATTACTTTTAAAAAATTGGATCTATGTTAATCATGTTTTGTTTTTGGCAGCGTTATTCATTAGTCAAATTTATGGTTTAATTATTGTTTTACCATTGTAGACCGTTTCCTCGAAACTTAAACGTAATCATTATTCTGCCAGAGTGTGCGACCCTCTCCGAGCCATAATCACGCCACGTGTCCCACGAACTCGCATAGCTTAAAGATTTTTTTTAGCAACAACAATAAAACAAACAAACAAACAGTGCTTTTTCCGCAACTTTCTCCGCCAGCTCAATTTCAGATCTCGGCGGCGACGGATCCATTCCAAATCGTGTTTCAGATCGGCGACTTGGAGTTAGAAAACTTCAGATTGAAATTGCTATATCCGCCGCGGATTCTCTCTGCGAAAATTGCTCTTTTGAATGTTTGATTTGGGCGCTGTGAAGATAGGGCGGTGGAGTGAGATTATCTGATGGCGTCAATCCGGCGAACTCTCTCGCCGATGTATCACGATCGTTCTCACGAGAATGGAGGTTCACACAAAGGTTTCACCATTGGTGGTAGTAGCAGTAAACACAATTCTTCGCAATTTCTTTCGTATCTCACCAAACTCCTCGGAGTAACATCTGATCCTAAAAGCTCGCGTAGAGGTCCATGGCGGCGACCGTTTTACCAGTTTCTCGTCTTCTTTCTTCTTGGATTTGTATTAGGTTTGACACCTTTCGGAAAAATGGAAGATGTAAACGGTTCCGATCGATTCTCCTTCGAGATCAAACAGCCATACGTTGAAGAACGGTTGGATAACAACAAGAAACGGGAAGAGGTAGCTGTAGATGCGGTGAGTTTCGTGGCGGAGACTGAAAATGGGAAGAAGGAGGTCAATTTTGTGCCGAAGAAGCTTATAATTGTGGTCACACCAACGTATAATCGAGCGATGCAGGCGTATTACTTGAACAGGATTGCTCAAACGCTGAGACTTGTTGAGTCGCCTGTGCTGTGGATAGTGGTGGAGGGTAACGTGGCGTCGTTTGAAACCTCAGAGATTCTGAGGAAGACGGGAGTGATGTACAGGCACTTGGTTTGCAAGAGGAACATGACGAGTATTAAGGATAGAGGAGTTCATCAGAGAAACACTGCATTGGAACATATTGAGTTGCATAAGCTTGATGGAATTGTCTACTTTGCTGATGATGACAATATCTACTCACTTGAGCTCTTTCAAAGCTTAAGACAAATCAGGTGACTCAAAAAGACTGCTCATTACTTTTGCTAGTGCTAACTGATGGTAATTTGTGAGAAATAGACTTATTAGAGAGACTGCGGTTCAAGTTTGAGTTATTAGTTGAGCAACTCTATCGTCTTCGCTTATTTTATTGGCATCTTTTTGGCTTTATTGCCTGCAGTCTCTGTGATTGTAATGTTGTTGGACACCCAATTTAAACATTTCAGAAGCAGACACCTATTAGGCTATTAGTTTGATGTTGAAAGTAATGAGAATTTGAAGTTTTCTCCACAGAATCTGAGTTTTTTTTTTTGTCTGCCTGCCTCTATTCTTACTTTTCTGCTTTGCTGCTTGCTCTGCCATGTGCTCAGTCTTGTTTGGTTGAGAGAATACTTCATTTCTTGTTATTGGAAAGGATTTTCTTAAACTTCTTTGCGTGATGGCTTGATATCCAAAGCTTATCTTCTTCTGAAGTTTTTGTCCCCAATTTTGATTTGTTATGCTTATCTGTTTCATTGTGTAGCCGATTTGGAACCTGGCCTGTTGCAATGCTTGCACCAAGCAAAAACAAGGCCATCCTTGAAGGTCCAGTATGCAATGGAAGTCAAGTAATGGGATGGCACACTAATGAAAAGAGTAAAAGACTACGGAGGTTCCATGTTGATATGTCGGGATTTGCTTTTAACAGCACTATACTCTGGGACCCTAAAAGGTGGCGACGTCCCTTTTCACATCCAACCCGCCAACTAGACACAGTGAAGGAGGGCTTCCAGGTATGAGTTTGAGTTTTTCACATATCTATGGATTTCTCTGGTGCGCAGTTAACCCTGTTCTTATACATGACATCCTGTGTTTCCAAGCAGGAGACATCATTTATAGAGCAGGTGGTGGCTGATGAAAGCGAGATGGAAGGTGTTCCACCAGCTTGCTCGAGGATACTGAACTGGCATCTTCACTTGGATGCCCTGGATGTCCCTTATCCACAAGGGTGGGCGATCCAAAAGAATCTCCAAGCTCTCATAACTATGAAATAGTTTGAAGATAGTTTTGACTGGTAAGATTTATAGGGTTCCGAACTTTTGAAGCATAATGTGAACTCAAGACCGTGAAAAGTCAGTGTTTGTTTGGATTTGGAAAAGGGTGAAGCTAGCTTGTTGATCCGATATCAAAATTCGGATTCTCTAAATATTGATGGTGCAATGCGTGTTTGTTTGCAGAAGAATCCTCTGACTTCTCCCAACTATATGTCTTGCAGGTTTCTCTACTTAACCCATGTGCTGTGCTCATTACTGATTGTATATCAAAGAAGCATATGAAGAATGGAAGAAGACGAGCAAGGAAAGTTTAGGATAGTGATGAGGCACACATTTTGGATAAACGTTGCTGGAATCGTGAGCCTCCCCTGAATCCAAGAGTTGGTTGGAATTAAATTGAAGGCCTTGGTGTTTTAGTATGAGATGGAATTATATTACCTTGGGACATTGATGATTCCACAGCATTGTATTCGCCTATGGCTAACCAAGTCTTCCTGTTTCCCTTACTTTTTTTTTTTTTTTGCAATGAAGAAAGAAATTCACCACCTATATAATCAAAGTCTATACTAGAGTCTAGAGCTCAAATCATCACTTCCTAAGAAGAGAAGAAAAAAAAGAGGGAACCGTATGTTAAAACCATACTTAATACAGAACACAAATGATTGGTGATGCTATAGAAAACGAAAGATTTTGCATTTTCCAGGAAAAAAGGTATCGTTGTATAGAGTGTTCGACACACTTTAGGAAGAATAGTACAGGACCTAAGGGTGTCTCAAATTGGGATGGGCTCGAAACCGTATAAACTCAATGGCTAATGGCTAATTGATATTTGGTCTTTTGATATTATTATCCTCAACTCTTATCTTCTCTCTTTATAGGAACAACGTTGATGCGATTGTACATCCATTACATGTGAACCCCTTCTCACGGCCACGGTGAACTTTCATTAATATACACAAAAAGGGCAACAAATAAGAAACTATGAATGACCACACACGCTGGCCTACCATACTGGTCATGCTACTAATTCCAAACACATGTAGTTAGTAGTCAGATATACGCGTGGTAGCCAGTCTCGCACCATTGACACTAGACATAAGCATCTGTGCTTTGTCTCCTCCAAACATTTCAACTTCTCGATATTCTTCCAGAGGGAGTCACGTTAAGGCCGCCCCATGAATAGACGAAGTTGCATCTGAAGGGTGCATTTGTGAACGTGAATCTTGCCCATTGTCAAGCCCGAGAACTGAAAGAGCTGAACTGTTAAAACATGCATCACGATTCAGTATCTGATATGTTGTACTTAACATAAAGGATAACAGAGCGTCGGTTTGATTTAGAAGACCTACTTCGGTAGAGAAGCTCTGATAGTTGGCTGATTCGCATAAGCAGTGAGGGAAGGTCTTAGATCAGGAAACTTCTTCATGATACTTTCAAGTTGAGGCATTGGTAACTGCAAAACAACACCAAAGAGGTATTTGGATTTTCTGCTAATACACTAAACTCGTATATTCTTCTACAACGTTTTCTTGTACCTCCAACAAAACAGGGAACGAATGCGGCTTTGTCTGAGACACACATTTTAAGAAGCCAGGCCACAATTTTGGCAGTCTCCAGATCTGCATTCAAAAGACACGGCAATACATTCAGTCATAACCACACAAGACGGAAAATATCTCAATACTGATCCTTGTGTATCTTTAAATTACTCACCTGCTTTCTCACCAACTTGGAAAGAATTTCCATGACAAAATCAACCTGGACAAAAAATCAGAAATATCTTTTACTTCTGACCAAAAGAATCCAGAGTTTGATCTATAGCTTAAACCAAATACTTAGAGAAACGTTTACTAGTTGTACTTTCCTGTCAGTTCTCAACTAAACAATCTTATAATATAGCTTAGACTAGAAATAGATTTCATTGTGCCCGTTCGATTGGCTAATCGCTTGGGATAAGGTTTGTCCTGGTTTGTCTATTATAGTTCATACAACTGCACTATACCGCAAAGCAAATTGTAAGCTTGGGTTTCTGGGTCTACATTTTGATTTCATTGGAGTCAGTATACAAAATAATCCTCCATGTTTATATAAGAATGATACAACAATATTATTCTAGATAGCTTGGGTTCTTGGAATTGTCAGAGGTTATCAAACTTTTACAAACTTCTAACGTAATTTAATGCAATTATACATGAGGCTCCATCAAGTTATAACACCCATGAGGCCATGATTGCAAATGCTTATATTATTTCTTTCTTTTCTCATGCCAAATCAACTCGTTAGCTACCTACATGTTAGTCCTCTTTCTATTTCCTGATTATGAAAATTATTTAGGATTTGCTTTTCCTTCTTTCCTTTTCCTAAAGTGCTTTACTTTACGTTTTATTATGCTTAAGGATGAGGTCTTGTTTGTGAGACCCATCCAAGCTAGAGAGAGCTTTGGGTTAGGCCAAGGGAAGAATGCAGTTCTTATGGGGGTTTTCAAATTATATTTCTGTTACTTTGGTTCTTTTGAAATAAAAAGCTTTTGGGTTTTATGTGACCGAGGTCTTTACTCTTTATAGTAGGACACTTACCAGTGTTGGAAAAGCGTCGATTGCCTGGATAACGGTTCGCATGAAGAGCAAAGGCAGAGGTGTTCGATCAACCTGAAACCAAAAAGTATCACAGATTTCAATATCTAACTAAATCAGAAGTTCTTTTCCATAATATTTGACATACCATCTGACCGAGGGCCTTTGCTAAGACTTGCTGCGTGAAAACAGTGCGTTGTTCAAAGCAAGCTGAACATGCATCTGTTATCTGAAAAATAAAACACACATAGTCAAATGTGACTCTGCTAACAATAGAGACTAAATAGAACAGCTAGCAAATTGGCTGAATTTCATAAAGAACGTCCATGGTAAAGCAAATTAATCTGGTCTATAGCGTCTGACAATCTAATTAGCCAGTTGCTGATTGCCCCTAGTATGACATGAGATGAATCATTGATCTTCGCGTAATAGCTTGCATGGACAGAAGTTACTGGGGAAAACCTATTTTACTAGAGAGGAAATAGCGGAAAATAAAAAGGGCATTTGATGACATAGCGGCAATGCTTCACGGTACAAAATTCTTTGGATTTTTTAAGAACTAGGATTGGCTAATTGAGGTAAGAAGAAAGCTGTTTGAACTCTCCTATAATTCTGTAATAGACATACACACCGAGACCAACAGATTGTTTGATAGAATCCCCGACTCTCCCAACCCACCATTTCCAACTAATTCTTGGATGACCTCGTCTCTGTGAATCTACAATTTATGATAACTGTCTCTACCTAAGTTATGATAACGTGGCCATATGCAACTGATGATCAAGGTTTCTGTGTTCCTTATGCACACTTGTCAAAAGCCACGGAACTTAAGCAGAGCCGATGCATCAAAGAAGAGATAGGGATGATGGTAAAGAAAGCATCTCAATATGGAAATATACACATCAGTATAGGTCTAGTATCACAACTGATTTCGAGCAAAAGAGTGCAGAAAAAAAAGTCCCTTCAGAAGTACTATCAAACAGATAGAAAAATTGGAAATACCTTTTTAAGTGGTGGCCCATCCTTCTCAGGAACAATATCGTGGATAGCAATCAGTACCTCGGCAGGTGTTAGTGCAGGGCCTGTGTGAGCAGAACCCTATCACAGATATAAAAAAAAAAGATCGGAAAAAGTCAGAAAAACTACAGGTGTGTAAAATATACTAATGACATGAACAGTTGTTCCTGTTTTGTTACTGGACAAACCGATCTCTCATCTCATCAAATTTCAATGTCAAGGCAATCCCTCTATGCATAGCATGATCGATAAGATAGCAATTACAGACTGGACCGTGAGAATATGCTTATACCTGTAATATATGAGCAAGTGCAAGTTGAAACTTTTCTGGCGGAAGATTAAGAAGGGGAGGAAAGATGGGCAAAACCTGTTACATTGTAAAAGAATGGCCGTCATAAACTAAGGAATTTCTACAATTGATGAGCAATAACAAAACATCATCTTTCGCATCCACCAACAAAGGACCAAAAAAATTTCAGAAGTCTTCCATGGTTACTAGTTCTTATTTCTTTCCACATTTCAGATGGGCAAAATACCGAGGGGACAAGAAATGTAATGAAAATTGCAAGCCTCTTCATCTTTCTTCAGGGTAAAAGCACAGTGAAAGAGCAGAATCTATGGAAAGAAAGTAGAAACTAACCTCATCTTTAGTGAGTGAAGAAAGCAATGGAATAAGAATTGAAACATCCTGCAAAACAAATTTTCTGTAAGGCTTTCGAACTTGATTTTCAAAAATATTTATAGACAAGAATAATATACGAGCGAGCTCTTCATAACAAATCAAAACCTTTAGCTTTGTTTCATATAGATGCTTTACAGTAGCAATCAAATCTAACGAAGGTGCCAATTCTTGTGTCAATATTTGCAACACCTAGACATAAAAGTAACAGAGTGTTATTCAAAATTAGAAAGTATTTTTGAGGCCAACGTGGATTTACTACAAGGAAACACAGAAGCCACTTACCAATGTCAATAAATTTTCACTTCCCTTAGGAGGGTCGGATATTATTTGGAGTAGTTCCGTGTAAGATGAACCTAATTCTCGTATCAGGATAGGTATATGTCGATGAAAAGCCTGAACCATTTCAGAAAGTTACCATAATAAATTAATCTGAAGTTTGTGAATATCGTTTCCTCCCATTAAAACTCGGGGAACACACATGATGCATATAAGAAATGCCATACATCGCCCTAACACAAAACATATCTGATGTTCAAAAGTAATATCCTATCAGAAAAAAAAATCTGTAACATGCCACATGTTATGCACATAAGTGGCTAGAGGGTTTATTAGGAAGGGACTAACTCACCTGGTTTACCATTTTTGGAGCTCTCCCATAAACTTCAAAGACAAGTCGAAGGAGACTAGGTTTCTGAAAAAAACAATAGTATTCATCAGATCTAGGGGAATATTTAAATAGAAAATAACTTTGAGCATAAGGAGCATCTCCAAAGACTACGCAGACCTTTTTACATAAAGCGAAGAACAGAGAAATCAGTCTCTGAGCTTCAGAAATTGATATAACTGAAACATCACGAGAAGTTTGTAGATCCTGCTGAGAGTGAATGTCGGAGTTTCCAGACCATAGAGAGTCACTTGTCGAAGTTATCTGGCTTTTTGCCTGAAAATAAGTGTCAGCTAATCAACCCACTAAAACTCGAGGTTACAAACTGAAGTGCGCTCATTGCAATAACTAGGGTAACCCTCACAAGGGAAAATTTAGAGGCTTACGAGAACAGGCACAAAAGGTAACTGACATCTAATAAATTCTATAGACTAATAGGCCTTTATATATACAATTTAAAGAGAAGTAAGCTCCACGCAGTCAAGGGAAGTGTTATTGGCTATTACCTCTGTTTTTATTCCTTCTGTAATTGATCCAGTCTGTGAGAGACCTGTCTCAGAGTTTACAGCAGTCAGCAACATATCTGTTGCAAATTGCTCAACATGCTCTGCTATGTATGTTAGGTGATATAGTTTGTTCGTGACCTGTGCATGCATTTGAGAAACATCAATTAGAATTACTGTATCAGCAGTAAATAAAAACCATATTGCTATTCGGGACTAATTTCCTCACAAGTCGGATGGCTTTTGCGCGGACGTCTTCTTCAGAATGAACAGAACACTGCCATAACAGGAATAAAACATGTGTTAGGAACATGGAAATATGAAAAGACCATACGGCCATGAAACATGTAAATAAAAGAAAGTTTCGAGCACAGCATTCTTTTAATGTAGGAAATATTAGCTCATACATTCCCTTCTGGGTCCTAGAGATCAGAACACACTTCTTATGTAATTGCAATTTGCTATACATTCTTCAATCAACCAAAATCCAAAACTTATATTATTGGAATTCTCATATTCTCCATCACTGAGACTATAACATAACTCTACTGTGACAGGATTTGTAAGAAAGATAAACAATAAAGTTTGGCTACATATTCTTACCTTCAATGCTATAGCTAAGCATGCTTTTCGCTCATTTGGACGCACTAAAATTAAGCTCCAAACAGCACCAAGCCCTTGGGTAACACGCTCACTATCACAGACTTCTCTTCCAACTGGGTCATGATGAGTGGAGCAGAGTTCATCCAGTAGCTTTATGGCAGAATCAGGTAAATGTGGAGCTTCTCCAAAAAGTCTACTAAAAGACTTGTCAGAAGCAGGAAGAGCATCCAGAAATGATCTTGCCTACAGTAAGCATCTTAATAAGCGAGATTTATAAACAAGAATTGGAAAAAGTTGAATAAACACTCACCACTGATATGAGAAAATTTTCATAAATAGTAGCATAGGGAGAGGATTCATCTGTGTCCAGCATCGCCATCGAATGCAGATGGTAGAGAACATGTAAAACAAGATCGTGCCCCTAGATACAAAGAAACAAACAGATCAGAGGTTTGCATAGACATATGGTAGACTCTCGGTTACTGGGAGTTGGAAGGAAAAGTTATTCAGACAAATAAATATTCGCACTGTAGCAGTGCACTGGCTGCGTACTTTAATGATGCTACAATATTTATGACAGCCAACATATGGAAAAGACATTCAAAATCCAAAACCTAAATAAACAAGTGACGGCTGAGTTTGGGGAACACTGCAGCCAACAAGTACCTTGAATTCTCGATGATCCACACTAATATGCTCTCTTAGTATGGTTGCAACATCATTGCCAGCATCGATCTGGAAAAATAGTAACATAAAAAAATATTTATTTTTGTAGAAAGAAAGAATTAAAGGAGAAGGATTCCCTAAGGATAAAGCCAAATGATGGAAGTGGTAGCCAGAATTGACAGCAAAACCACAAGTAACAAAAATAAAATAGGCACTCACTCTAGCAATCAATCGAGCAATCAATGCCATGCGTATCTTGTTACAATCAAACCCAAAGACATGTCTATTTGAATCGATTATCCGCTCAATAGCCAACTTTCCTACAGTTTTGCTTTGCTCTGTGGTAAGTTCAACATATGATGGAACAGGTGCCAACTCTCGATAGCTTTCTTCTGGTGCAGTAATGTCTGATGCTGCAGGGGGATCTTGATCAAAATCTGGGACTGATGCTGAAGGCGAATGTTGATCAAAATCTGGGACAGACGACATATCCAAATCATACATTGTTTCAGAACCTGAATACTTTGTCTCTCTGATGCCTTCATCATCTCTGCAAGGAGATAGTGGAACATCTAAGGATGATATTTCCTTTGACGGGTAAGAACACTCATTAGGAACAGTCAACAAGTCCTCTCTGCAATCAGGCTGATCAATTATTCTGATTCCTGAACTTCCCATCATCTTGTTCTGGCTACGCTCTACTGCTGTTGAATGTACTGAACCAGTAGCCCCTGGCGTGACAGCAGGAACTGAAACTGGCTTACTCAGTAAGGTAGAGATGTCCTTCTGTGCTGGAACTGGTTCTTTACCCTCACCTACAGGCAGTGACGATGGTACCACAGGTGAATTTAAACGCCTTGGATCCATGCGACGGGGATCCTGCATAACTATGAATAAGTTATCTTGGAGAAATAACATTCAACAAAGAATCAAGCAACAAATGGAAGTTTGTACCCTTCTTGGGTCGCGTCTAGGGTCGGCAACCGAGCTATTCAAGCTAGGCACTTCGGAAAACGATGACCCAGCAGGAAGGATTGGATCAAAAGGAAGTTGTGCCGGAGGAGTCGGAGAATGCATGGTATTTATAGAAGAAGATACCACAATATCTGCTGGAGTACCCACTGAACTTGTCAACGTGGGAGGGGTACTAGGCAAGTGTTTCATGCTTGTTATTACAATATCAGCAAGCATATCTGGATGAAGCTTAGAAATGAGAATTTCAAGTGAGGCAGCTCCTCTGTCTCCTTCAGCAAGCAAAGCACCAATCATTGAAACCATTTGTTCCACTGGAGTCAACTCACTGTCCGAAGGATGGTTACCAGAGGAAATGCCATTGATAGAGACAGGTCCCTGTAGGGATTCATTTGTTTGAACTTGCTGGGTCAAATGCATGTTAGTATTATGGCGTACACGCTTCGGAGCAACCTCTCCATTGATTGTATCATCTTCACCCTGGGGCATTATTCGTTTCTTTGACAGATCCCAAGAATTTTGATGACTAATCACCTGGTTATTCTGAAAAGTAGGTTTATCATGAGACGTTACTGGTCACAATGATCAAAGCTGATGTAGAGCTAAAGAAAAAGTAGGAAAGAAAGAATGAAAACAAAACATTTACCTTGCCTGACCAATTTTCACGTGCAGCACGCTCGTTATTTCTGACCAATTTATCAACTTGACGGAGAACTTGGTCAGCAACATCTGCAGCATTCATTGCTCGAAATGCTCTAAGAAGCTTGTCTCTTGACTAAAAATCAAATCAAATAAAATTATATCAGTAACAAAACAAATATTAGCAAACAAAAAGAAATTACATGATACTTGTGATATATGATCTGATAAAGTAAACACTTCTTTGCACTCTATTCGACCTACTACAAGGCTTCACTCCATGAAATGACAGTATATAACATGTCGCTTTCTAGTAGTCATTGAACAACTTTATCTAAAAGAAAATGAATGGCACATCTGAGGTAAAAAAGCATGACACATTCCTAGAGTAGACAAACCAGATAACAAAAGGTTCACAATTTGACCAGAAAGGTGGTAAAAACAACTATATTTTCATTAGCATAAAGATACGAAGAATTGATGTTTAATAATGATGTGTTATTCAGCAAAAGTAGGGTAGAGTTGAGGAGTAATAGATGACTATAATTTAGATATATTTCAGCGGAAACAAAAAAATAAAGTCTGAACTCTATACCTCTATTATCGGTGAGAAAGTACATCTAAGAAATCCCAGAAAGGCAGTTCTAATGGAATACTGAACGCTTGCAGCATGGCACCCCTTAACCGTCTCAAGATTTGGGTGAAATTCCAGCAGAACAGAGAGGACAGTGTTGTAGTGGACAGGCCTCTTCCTTGCTACCACTGCAAGACTGAAAGATAAGCTACTGTCAGATAAGATACCAGTGCTTAAATAGGAAATATTCAAAATTGAAAATAGTTCAGGTATGCTCCCTACAAGCATGTCCTAATGAATCACTGCACATCTCAGCAAACAAAAATAACTATACTGATGTCAATGAAACAGCCCTAGGTGTGAGGAGCTGCTTTTAACGTATACAATTATCTAACGTAAGAGATACTAGAGTTTGATATAACTTTAAGCAACCATTCCTGTGAGAAACTTTACTCATGATTCTGCAGCATACAACACAGCAAATAAGCTCCTTAACAACATGAAACTATCCTCAATCTAAATTTTTACATATCCCATTACTAGTTTATCACAGTTTGAGGAGTCAGAAGTTCTGGTCTGAAAGCATATCAACATTAAAATCAAAAACCATATCTCTAGACAATGTCTCTCCTCTCAGGATTTGACATTGATCGTTCAACAAAGATAGTGCCCCCAAACATTGATTGGTAATATTAGTTCAAACAAAAACAAACATCTGCTAGGTAATTACTACTTTTTGAAACAAAATTCAGAAGTGACAAATTAGTTTGCTATGCAGATATTTCCAAGTTAAACTGAAGGTGCTCTCAAACAGATGAAGGAACCTTGACAGTTCAAAGTGACTAGAAATATACCACCTACTGGACATGACAATTGACAACCATGAGATAACTTCTATATCCATCTAAAGAGCAACACATAGTATAAGATCAAGCAGTATAATTTATTCAATGCATCATCAACCATATCAAATATCCACCTAATCCTATATATGGAGAAGAAACATTCATCATAACAGAAGGTAAAACCACAAGGCAAGTAAAATATAGGCTAGAAATAGAATTCAGCATAAAGAAAGCTCTGATTGCCAAATGATAATGTGCATAAACTGTTATACTGTAATGTATACAATTTTAATACCCCAACATAACAGTCATTAATGTATATATATATATATATACATCCAGTTCACACAACCAAATAAAAATTTCCTTAAACATGTTTCTGCGTTACTTGGAAAATACATTTCTAACTACTAGAGCTGACCATTCTATCCATTGTCTGATGTCCTTATCACTTGCATACTGGAGCTCCAAATATACCCAGGTAACTGTCAATATCTGTAACTGATGTAGCTTCAACTGAGCCAATTTCCCCAGGACTATGATTCAGTTAGCTGCAACCTTATCATAGGGGTTGAACTGGTGCTATAACCTGTCTCCATGCTTTATCTCTCTAAGCCAAAAGTTTAGTAGACATACAAATGGAAACCAGTAGTTTCATTCCCCTGATGTTATTCATTTACAAGCTAATTTGATTCAAGACACACTGAAAGTGCAAGTAGGACAGCCAATCATGACCATAAAACTACTTACAAGTGGAAGATCAACTTCTTATTGTTGTATCTCACAAAAACGAGGCACACATAAAGCTTATGCAAAAGAAGACTTCCAATATCACCCTATCATTCAGGACTCAGACACATTATGTATGGCTCGTTTATCACCAACATACATGTGAATTTGAGTTTTTCACGTTATGAAGATAACGCTAAGAAACTAAAATTTATGAGCGCCAAAGCACCCATATCAACTTACTTGCAAGACCAAATCAGCATACTGAGAACCAAAAGAACTAACATAGTTTTAACTAAAAAAGTGGGATAGCAAAAACTGTAACAGGCAAAAGCACAATTAATATTATGATGATTATAAAGAAAAGTAACTACACAAGCATAGTGGGATGGATTCAGAAACATACCAACTAATAACAGATATCGTCAATGCACCCGGTAAGCGATTAGCTGACTGTATGAAATCTACTAAGATGCCAAATGTCCTATTTGCTTCAGACATGAGCGTTGCTGGATTCAGAATGGGGTGACCGCCAGCAAGCCAGGAAATATTGAACATCTGTCTACTTCCTGCAGTAGAATAGGAAAAGTTGACATGCGCGCAACAAAATGAACAAATCATGTATGGTGCAGCTCCAGATTAAATACAATATAATCGGAATAATAATTAAAAAAAACTGCATGATTAGAACATAATACCTTCGCCGGAAACTTTTTCAGGATCAGATGCATCAGGAGTAAAGAGCAAAATAAATGTCTCCATAAACTTTAGAGCAAGAACTTTCACCCCTACACAACCAGGCTATTGTGAAAGAAACAACGGCCTTGAGTGAGAAGCAGAACAAATACTCAACCCAAAGATCATACCTCGCAAGAGGAACAAACAGACAAAAAAGAGAGGCTATAAACAGTCAGCATACCTCCAATGCAGTGGCAAAGACAGTATCTTTGAACTTAACCATCCATGTCCATAGTTCCCCACACCAACGATCAACTTTACCACGGTGATGGAACTGCAGAGATCATCAAGAATAATACATATCAGCGAGAGTAAAATGGAATTTCAATGCTAAAGATCATGTCCATTGTTTACATGAACACCCACAAAGATCTCAAAATTTATTAATATATAAAATTAAACTAATTAACACAAATAGAGCATAAAATTAACAGAAAGAGATAAGAAATTCAACAAAAACTTAAACAGAAATTTACAATGCTTGCACTGCTTTATTTTATTCACTATTTCATATTACCCTACAGCCTTATGACACTAGCCTTAAACTTCAAATAAGTAGTACCAACATAAAAACCAACCAAAGTTTTGAAAATGAAAACAAGAGGAATGTTTCCATGGGTTAACAGTTCAATCTCATCGGTAACTACGGTATATAAAACACATTTGCTGGTAATTATTGACTACAAATGTAGGATTTTGTATAGAGTTCAAGAAGGAATTTCAAAACAACATATGCATACGACAAGCTAACCAACTTGAGAAAGAGTATGGACCTGCATTGCCATCTCCTCCAAGATGGTGCAAAAGAAAGTGGTGCCAGCAGAAATGGATTTCTTGGCAACAGTTGGATCCTCGTCCCTTGATAAGACTAGTAAGACACTCACTAGAACATAAGAATGATCCAGCATCCTCAAACCAACCTCTTCAATGATCCTGCCATCCAGAAGAATCGATCAACCAGTCTCTTACCTTGTCAGACAAATTAATCAAAACCTTTTTCCAGATTGTGGAAAATAGAACCCTAAACACGCAACAAAATAAAAATCTTCTACAAGTTCGAGCAGAGCAAGGGAAAACATCAACCGGAGTGAAAGAAAAGAGGGAGAAATCGTAAGATTGCAAAGGGACTCACCCTATAAGGGATTTGCGAACTAGAATTTCACGGGACAAGTGGAGTTCTGCGAGATAGGGGAAAATCTCAGCAGACAAAGACGGCTCCAATGACAGCAAAATCTCCTTCACCTGTCTAAGAGACGAGAGCTTCACTGCCAAATCGCCGTGGTTATTGGCAGCGGCGAGGAGAGAGAGCGCCTGAGCCCTCGCTGTCGCTGCAGCCGGAGCCGCCATTACTGAATTCTAGATTCGTCCGGCGGAAACGTCAAAGGAAATTACGGTGCCTTATCGCAATGGCGGTTAATTATTAGGGTTTTTCAAGGTTGTAGAAGAAAGAAGAAGAATCTCGGCGACAGAGAAGAAGCACACAGAGCAATTAGGCGATTTACGCAATTACAAAATGCAGAACAGAAAAGCCGGATGGCTTCAATTAATTTTAGGTCCGCCATACAACAAAACACCTTGTCGTTTTATATTTTGGGAGTTGCAATGAGCGCCGTTTTTGTTTACCTAACCAAGCTCTTTTAAACAGTTTTAATGACAAGCCGTCTGGTTCTTTTAAGTCTTTTAGTAACATGTTTATGTGTAGAAAAATTTCTGCAGTTGAGAGAAAAAGGTTATTCAGCTGTCTTAGTGAACCTAAACTATGCAACTTCGAAACAAAAGTCGGCCATTTGAACTAGCTTTATTGAATTTAGTAGTAAAGTGGAAACAAAATCGATTCTGCCTCACTAAACATCGCATTGCCAATGCAAAGCTATGCAGTCATGAACGGAATGTCGCAATACTGTCTACTCTCCTTAAGATCCAAAGATATGCCTCATCTTGAAGTTGTAATTAGATCTATCCCCACATCATTACCAGACCATGAGCCATGTCTACATATAGCTTCTGAGACTGATTAAATTATTCAAATGTACTCTTTGTTCATCAAGGTACAAGTGAACTACGATATGTTGACCAAAAATGATCCATGGTGATGTTATATTGGGCCGTAGACCCGTTAGAATATTTTTCTTTTGCTGTTATTGGGCTTGGTACCTATAGATTACATAGTATGTGCAACTTAACGCCTTCTCATTCTTTTCTCAACAGACGAGATAAATCTCCGTCGTGAAAATGCAGAGATCAACTACGCTCAAACGACAATTGAGTAGTCCGGAGCTTGAGCCTGCCAAGGACATGCGTTCGACGTTGATTCTGCAGCCAAAAGCCGGATCTCCATTGCTGATACTGTCTACAGAAAAAGATGGTTGTCGTCTGTGCAATCCAGCCGATGAAAGGGTGGTTTACGAGACGAAGAGTGACCTTTCAGGGCATCGATTCCTGGGAAGCTCCGGTAAGTGGTTTCTGGTGGTAGATTCTCAATTGAAACTCTATATTATAGATGTCTTTAGCGAGGAGAGGATCGATCTTCCACCACTAGAATCATTGAAAGGTAGCCTTTATAAGATTGAGCGAGTAGGAGAGAATAAAGTCAGGAATATATTATTCAGTGATTTATCTCGTGGGGCTCCTCATACTGTTGAAGATCTGAGAGGTCGTTTGTGGGTAGGCGACAACAAGGAAGACTACGTTGTTGTGTGGCATTTTGAAATGAACGAGTTTCTAGGGTTTTGCAAGAAAGGGGATGATCATTACCGCGAGATCTCAACAATGACCGGTGTTGTTCGCAGGGAGTTACACGGTGTAAAAGATATGGTACTTAAAGGTTACAGTCTTTACGTCCTTGCCATCCGTGACTTCATTCGACACTTGGATTTGTCGGGACATGGTGAAGATGGTATCAAGGATGTGTCCGAGAACCATAAGCTTCCAATGTGGAAGCCAGGTATGAGTAGGGATGAACATGAAAGAGTCAACATATATAAGATCACCTCATCTAGTGAAAGCATTGCTGTTACAAGATCAGGTCAGGTTTTGGTTGTCTATTCTTACGAGTTAGGTAACTCTCAAAGGCATAGGATGTTCCACGTGTACAAGAGAGATCCTAAAGATCTTGACCCGACTACCTACTTAACCCATCTTCTTGAGGTACATTCTCTAGGTGATGAGGCCCTCTTTCTCGATTTGGGAACCACCGTGCCTGCTGACCATACCCTTGGTATTGAGCCTAACTCCATCTATTTCACCCGTGGTGATCGTATCCGTCACAGGAATCCTTCACGCCCCGACATCTGTGTCTTCAGTCTTACAACAAAGACCATCAAACGCTTCCCCACTCTCTCCAGCTTTAACGTCAAGGATGCTCAGTGGTTTCTTCCCTCTTGAATCTCGCCTTCCTCATGGTTTCTCCCTCGGCCTTGCTCTGTTTAATGTTTATTGTCATTTTGTAAACAGATTTCAAACAATAAGAAGTTAATAGTTCACTTGTACTATATATGAAAATACCCATGATTTATATTTCACTAATAATGTTTTTTGATAGTTTCAACACTAAAAGATTTTTAGTTTTTTAATTGAAATACAACTTACTAATTTGAAAATAAAATTTGTTAAACAAAAAAAGTTTTCTGAATACTTTTTCTGTTTGTATTTGTTTAGCAAAATTTATTTTGTAGTCAGAAATCTTGTTTGTTTGTGTTTTGTTTACATCGTGGAATATGAAAAAGTCATTAGATTTTTACATCGTGTAATCAAACCAAACCAAATCAAACTAAACCAAATGATCGTGTAATCAAACCAAATAATAAAAAAATGAAATATTTTTAACCAAATGATCCATGATATAATTGGGCCATCGAGCCGTTAACATATAATTTCTTGCTGTTATCGGGCTTCGTACATATATATGTGGCAACTTAACGCTTTCTCAATCTTGTCAAAAATACGAGATAAAAAAACAAAAACGAATTCTTTTTTTTTTTTCACAGACGAGATAATCTCCGTCCTGAGAATGGAGAGATCTACGCTCAAACGAACATCGAGTTTTCCGGATCCTGAGCCTGCTAAGGCCCTGCGTTCGACTTTGATCCTGCGGCCAAAATTCGGATCTCCATTGCTGATGCTGATTGCAGAAGAGGATGGTTGTCGTATCTACAACCCAGAAGATGGTATGGTCTACGAGACGAAGAGTGACTTTTCAGGGTATCAATTCCTGGGAAGCTCAGGTAAGTGGTTTCTGGTGGTAGATTCTCAACTGAAACTCTTTATAATAGATGTGTTTAGCGAGAAGAGGATCGATCTCCCACTCCCAGCACTAGAATCATTAAGGGTAGCCTTTTTAAGATTTGGCGTGTAGGAGAGAAGAAAGTCATGCATAGACTAGTCAGTGATTCATATCCTGGGGGATTCTTCATACTGCCGAAGATCTGAGAGGTCGTTTGTGGGTAGACGACAAGAATGGAAACTACGTTGTTGTGTGGCAATTTGAAATGAACGGATATATAGGGTTTTGCAGGAAAGGGGATGATCATTACCGCGAGATTTCAACATGGGTCGGTGTTCAGAGGGAGTTACGAGGTCTATACGATATGGTACTTAAAGGTTACAATCTTTACGTCTTTGCCACCCGTGAGTTCATTCGACACTTGGATTTGTCTGGACAAGATGAAGATGGTTTCAAGGATGTGTCCGAAAAACATAAGCTTCCAATGTGGAGGCCACGTCTGAGTATGGATGAACTTAAAAGAATCAAGAAAAATAAGGTCATCTCATTTAACGAAAGCATTGCTGTTAAAAGATCAGGTCTGGTTTTGCTTGTCTATACTTACGAGTTAGGTACCTCTGAAAGGCATAGGATGTTCCACTTGTACAAGAGGGATCCTAAAGATCTTGACCCGGATACATATATACGACACCCGACTTGTTGAGGTACATTCTCTAAGTGATGAGGCCCTCTTTCTGGATTTGGGTATTACCTTGCCTGCTGACCATACTGGTATTGAGCCTAACTCCATTTATTTCACCCGTGGTGATCGTATCTGTCACAAGGAATCGTCATGCCTCGACATCTGTGTCTTCAATCTTACAACGAAGACCATCAAACGCTTCCCTAAATTAAACGTCATGAAGGATGCTCAATGGTTTCTTCCCTCTTGATTCTTGCCTTCCTCTTGGTTTCTCCATCGGCCTAAACCCATCCCAACCTCATTTATCTTCTTGAGAACCCATCAACACTATCACTGATCTGAGATATGCCAATGCCACCAATGAAGCTTGTACAAATGAGTATGATCTTTTGCAAAATTCAACTTGAAAATATCAAGAAAATCTCGAATAACCACGAATTCACCCACCCCTTTTGGATGTCGGATTCACGCACTCAAGTATTTATATTATTCGTGGACTAAAACTCTCAAGATCAAAATACAAGACAAATACATATAGCAAATAGTATAGAAATGTATGCAAAAAGTATAGAGAAATTATATAAAACCTAAAATATTAGAGAAAAAGGAACTTAAAGGTTAAAAATTGTAAAAATATATATCATATCTTACCATTATATGAATCACACTTCTTATGAATGCATAACTAGATTGCGTGTAACTTAAATTTATAGTCCACACCTACAAAGTTGAATAAGAAAAAAAAGTTAGAACTCCATTAGTTGTATACAAAAATTGTTATAGAGTTTACAAACTTATCTAGTACGGATAGTGGAATGTGTGTCTTACTATTTATAAGAAAATATGTGTTTTGTATGTTTTAAAATAATTTTATAACTTATAATGGTTTAAATGATGTTTAATGGCCGAGTATAAATATTCTAATGGCTGGACTCATGAAAGCCCACTTATATATTCACTTGAAATTGACCAAAATATTTCATTTAAGTTATTTTTTTTCTAGATTTTGCTTTATTTCACTAAAAGTTTTTTAAAAAACATAACAAAACATACTACAATATCTAATGTATATTTAGTTTATGTCCATATACATCAATATGTAAATAAACACTATTTGAAAACCCAAGAAAAAATAATCTGTTTTAACTAAATGAGATAATAAAATAATAATGTCATGTGAATTATTATTATTACAACAAAGAAAACATAGAAATAAATTATAGAAAATATGCTATAAGTTTCAAGAAAATATAGAATAAATATCATATTGCTTTATATCATAAAATAAATTAATCTTTCGCTAAAAAAAATTTGAAACTGTAAATCTTATTTAATCTTACGGTTTTTAGCCAAAACCTTAAGACTAAAAATGAAATTTTGGTAACCAATTGATCCATGATGATGTTATACTGGACCATAGACCCGTTAATATAATTTTCTTGCTGTTATTGGGTTTGGTACATATATGAGCAACAGAACGCTTTCTCAATCTTATCAAAAGACGAGATAGTCTCCGTCCTGATAATGGAGAGATGTACGCTCAAACGACAACTGAGTAGTCCGGATCTTGAGCCTGCGAAGGCCCTGCGTTCGACGTTGATTCCACAGCCAAAAGCCGGATCTCCTTTGCTGATACTGTCTACAGAAAAAGATGGTTATCGTCTGTGCAACCCAGCCGATGAAAGGGTGGTTTACGAGACGAAGAGTGACCTTTCAGGGTATCGACTCCTGGGAAGCTCGGGTAAGTGGTTTCTGGTGGTAGATTCTCAATTGAAACTCTATATTGTAGATGTCTTTAGCGAGGAGAGGATCGATCTTCCACCACTAGAATCATTGAAAGGTAGCCTTTATAAGATTGAGCGAGTAGGAGAGAAGAAAGTCAGGAATATATTATACAGTGATTTATCTCCTGGGGATCCTCATACTGCCGAAGATCTGAGAGGTCGTTTGTGGGTAGGCGACAACAAGGAAGACTACGTTGTTGTGTGGCATTTTGAAATGAACGACTTTCTAGGGTTTTGCAAGAAAGGGGATGATCATTACCGCGAGATCTTAACAAGGACCGGTGTTCGCAGGGAGTTACGCGGTGTAAAAGATATGGTACTTAAAGGTTACAGTCTTTACGTCCTTGCCATCCGTGACTTCATTCGACACTTGGATTTGTCTGGACATGGTGAAGATGGTATCAAGGATGTGTCCGAGAACCATAAGCTTCCAATGTGGATGCCAAGTCTGAGTGTGGATGAACAAGTAAGAGTCAACATAGATAAGATCAGCTCATCTAGTGAAAGCATTGCTGTTACAAGATCAGGTCAGGTTTTGATTGTCTGTTCTTACGAGTTAGGTAACTCTGAAGTGCATAGGATGTTCCACGTGTACAAGAGAGATCCTAAAGATCTTGACCCGAAGACCTACTTAACCCAGCTTCTTGAGGTACATTCTCTAGGTGATGAGGCCCTCTTTCTCGATTTGGGAACCACCGTGCCTGCTGACCATACCCGTGGTATTGAGCCTAACTCCATCTACTTCACCCGTGGTGATCGTATCCGTCACAGGAATCCTTCACGCCCCGACATCTGTGTCTTCAGTCTTACAACAAACACCATCAAACGCTTCCTTACTCTCTCCAACTTAAACGTCAAGGATGCTCAATGGTTTCTTTCCTCTTGATTCTTGCCTTCCTCATGGTTTCTCCCTCGGCCTTGCTCTGTTAACTGTCATCTTATAAATAAATTCCGAAATATAAAAAGTTCATAGTAGTTCACTTGTATCGTTGATGATAACATAAACTTAGGGTCCGACATAAGTGTAACTATCAAGGCATTTGATGTTATAGAGTGTTATGGATTACAACGATGTTGTTGGGATGTCAGTTTAGTTTTGGTAAACCGACTTATTTGTTATTGCTAGTCTAGCTTTGTTAACGTTCTGACTTTGATTATGTTTTAGTGCACATGTAAAGGTCACTATCCTATCGAGTGCATAATTGCCAAAAAGCTAATTAAATGGCGTAACTATACACACAATGAGGAGTCCATTGAACGGTCGTATACACATCATCAGTTATTCTTTCTAATTCAACTACTTGATAATAATAATAGCAATTCTTTAAACCGTGGAGGAAAAACAAAATCCCAACATGAGAATATGTCTGACATATATAAAACCAATCCACTGAAATAGTGGCTGCATGCATACCCAAATCACATGAGTGTGTGCAAATATGAATTCTGCTGGTTAGAAGATATTAATTACGAGATTAAGCATTTTACTTCATTTACTTTTTTGTGTGGGGTAAAGAGCCTATTTCAACCTCTACTATTTTGACGGTATTTTGAAAATATTTGTTAATTCAGCTGGTAACGACGCTTGCACATGGTCTTCATTATCTCGGGTTCGAATCTCTTTAGGAGAGATTTTTTTGTGAATTTTCAGCAAATTGAAAGACACCATTTAATAGGAGAAAACGTGTCATGCTGAGTCAGACTCCGTCATGCCTCGTCAACATATTTTAATGGTTGACTAACGTCAAAGTTAGTCAATGCATATTTTGACACTTTTAATAAGAATTCATGTGTAGTTAATTTGAATTTTATTAAGAGTTAAGGTTGAAATAAGCATTCTCTCATTGTATGCGTAGAAAAATACCTTATCAAAATAGTAGGGGTTGAAATACGCTCTTTACCCCTTATGTATATAGAATTTCTGAAAGTCTATAGACAACAACATATCACAGAGTTCACGACGCATGTGTGTCTCCAAACTTCCACTTACTCTTCATAAAGTTCTAGAAGAGATTTCACAATTTATTCTTGTTGATTCTGAAGTGCATTATCAAATATGATTTAGTGTTCGCCGGCATACAACTCTTGTCATATACAGTCCCGGAGCTGGCAGCATCTTTAGGTGGTTAACAAGCGGAAAAGATAGAGACTGTAGCTCCTGTGACATCTCCTCCAAAGAAACGAAGGCAAAAATAACGAAAAGACCATGATTCTGACATTGAAGAGAAGATGAAGACATCACACCAACTTACAACGACCGTGTTCCTCCTCTTCAAGTGTATTTTGTTGATGGTTGTTTTCATTTGATTAACCTAATTAATGTATTTTTATTCCTTTAAACAATTATAGTATTAGCTGGTAAAATCATAGAGACAATTAAAGTATTAAAGATCTCATAATGTGTATACATATTTTTATCAAAGAGGACAACTAGAACGTGAACAATAGTGCATAGTTGATCATAACATACAGTAAAACCTCCATAAATTAATAATGTTGGGACCATGAAATTTTATTAATTTAGAGAGGTATTAATTTATCGATAAATTAATAATTATTAATTTATAGAGAGATGTTACTAATTTTGTAATTTTTTTTAAAATATTTCTATCTAAAAATAAAATTTCTTACAAGCAATATCTTTTTAAAACCAATTACAAGTAGAGAAGCAACTATTAAGTTTAAAAAACAACACAAACATTTTTCGAATAATAGAATCCTATTTCATTAAATATTTTACATATAATATTTTAAATATATATCATAGTAATTCATATATGACATATATAAATTTATATCATATATATATATTAAGTTAAATATACATATATATTGATAAATTTATATAATTATTAACTTATGATATAGATGGGACCATATGTTTACATGAGATTTTCAAAAAAATTATTATCTTATTAATTTATCGATTTATGTCATATTTTACACTGGTCCCAACTTGGGACCGAAAGAATTTATTAATTTAGAGAGATTATTAATTTATAGAGTATTAATTTATAGAGGTTTTACTGTAATTCAGATGCCGTATTTAAATTTATATAAATACCAAAATGGAGAATCTATGTGCAAATGGTAGTACACTTGAATAAAAGTACATTAAAACCTCTAAAAATTAATAATGTTAATAAAATATTAATTTATCGATAAAAAATAATTATTAATTGAGGAAAATTTGCCTAATTTCATAAAGTATTTAAATTATCTAATTAAAAATAAAATTTGTAATAATATTTAATATTTTTTAGAACGAACTATACAGAAAAAAATCAATTATTTTGTCTCGAAAACAACAACAAAACATTTAAGTACAATACCTTTATCATTAGCATGTAGCCACTTTATTCTACAACGCCCGCCAAATGTTGTAGTCTTGTTGAATACTGGAATAATACATCTCGTGCAGAGCCGGTCCAACGGTTTTGAATATCCTATGCAAATAAAAATAAATACTTTTTTGACTTCAGTTCATTTCTTAAATCTAATTTGGTTTTTACATATTTACCAAAAAGTATAGATAGAAAAGTTATATTAAAAATTCAAAATCTAAAACAAGTATAAAAATCATAATCCAAGCCATCAATTATTATATTGCTTAATCATCCACTATCGATTTATAAACAACTAAATATAAAATCGCTAACTATTTACGAAATTATGCACTTTTTTAAATTTGGATATTTTCATGATTACATATATGGAATCAAAGCAAAATATTCTATTATGTAATTAAACTCCACTACCTAAGCAACGTGACAAAACGAAAATAGAAATTGAATAAATCAAGAAAAGAAAGAAAAAAAGTTTTGTTGTCGATTAAAATTATTGTAGAAAGACCGTTCGTGATCTATTGGCACTAGGTGAAGTGACCATTTTTGCCTTTTTGTACCAAAAGATTGGTTGCGTTACTATCCATGTTAGCAAATCGGATGTCTGCCATAACTATCTGGTATATTTCATCTACTTCTATTATAGCATGACCATGTTCCTCAACATTACATTTTCACTCTACAAATTTAACCAAAACTTTCATTCTAAATCGCACAAATACAGCTGGTGGTACTCTGGAGAAGGCATAAACTTGTTACAACCGTGATATATGATCATCTTCTGGATGATCCAAGATGTAGACAATAGCTTCATTCCTAGCTAATTGTTCATAATCATCACATAATTATTTAAATAAACACCTCAATTTTCCATATCTATCTTACACCTGGAAGATATGTTCATAACCAATGAGTTCAGCCACTTAGGATTATATTTTTTTTTTGAACAAGAATTTCACTAATAATATCCTTGATTTATATTTCACTAATAATTTTTTTGATAGTTTATACACAAATATTTTTAATTTTTTTTTATTGAAATAGAACTTACTAATTTGAAAAATAAATTTTGTTAAACAAAAAAGTTCGTTGTATTTGTTTAGCAAAATTTATCTTGTATTCAGAAATCTTTGTTTGTTTGTATTTTGTTTACATGGTGTAATGTGAAAAAGTCATTATTAGATTTTTGCATACAGTAGTTACATGGTGTCATCAAACCAAACCAAATAAAAACTAAACCAAAAGGTTTCAAACAATGTTAACCAAATGAACCAAGATCAAACCAAATCGCATGTTTTCAATACGGCTTTATTTTTGTTTTTTTGTTGTTTCGGTTACAATGACAAGTGACAACCAATAGCTAAAGAGGAGGAATCAGAATCAAGCATCCGATTCCGATCGACAAATAGGGTTTTGAATTCACCACGCCCAAATCGGTAGGCGAAGAAAATGGAAGGATGGGATCCGAACACGAAGTCGACGTTAACGCGAATTCCGCTTCTGACGACAAAGGCGGGTCCAAGAGACGGCGCGGCGTGGACGCAGAGGCTGAAAGAAGAGTACAAGTCTCTGATTGCGTATACCCAAATGAACAAGTCGAACGATAATGACTGGTTTCGTATCTCTGCTTCCAATCCTGAAGGAACGCGTTGGACTGGCAAGTGTTGGTATGTTCACAATCTTCTCAAATACGAATTCGATCTCCAGTTCGATATCCCTATCACCTACCCAGCCACTGCTCCTGAGCTTGAGCTGCCTGAGATTGACGGCAAGACCCAGAAGGTAAGGGCTTTCTGTTTTTTCTTCGATTTGAGGTGGTTTCTCTACTCAATTGGATTTGTCTTTGATGTTTTTTTTTTGGTTTGTGTAGATGTATCGAGGTGGGAAGATATGTTTGACTGTGCATTTCAAGCCGCTCTGGGCCAAAAACTGGTAAATGTTTATGCTTTCTGGTTGTATAGACATTGTAAGAGAAGCATGCAGTGTTTTGTATCAGTTACTCTCAGATTCTTAGAGGAATTGTGAAAGAATCACTGTCCAAAGATGTTAATTAGATTACTTTGTTGTCGATCTTCTTGTGTGTGATGATTCAATCAGGCCGGCAAATTCTAGTATTAAAGCTTTCTGGTTGCGTGTACATTCTTAGAGGAGCATGCAATGTTTTAGATCAGTCTAGTCTTGATTTTGAGAGGAATTGTGAAAGAATCGCTGTCCAAAGATGTTAATTAGATTGGTTTGTTGTCTATCTTCTTGAGTGTGATGATCAATTAGGCTGGCAAACTCTAGTACTAAGCTGTTTGTGTAGGTCAACTTAATTTTGTATGTTTTCGTTTTTACCTTGTTAAACACTGAGGTTGGGTTGAACATCTTATGCAATCCATTTCTATCATTAATATGAGCACAAAGTCTTTTTCATTGCATTGATGAATGGATTTTGTTTATGCAGTCCTCGGTTTGGTATAGCACATGCACTTTGTTTGGGGCTCGCTCCATGGCTAGCTGCAGAGATTCCAATTCTTGTGGACTCCGGCGCTATTAAGCACAAAGATGACGCAGCCACATCTGCGGAATCTTAAATCTATGTAACCTTTCTATCAATCTCAGAAATGTTGAGGTGTTTATCAGTAATAGCTGAACTCAGAAATGACTGAGGTGGATGCGTCTACCCTATAAAAACACTTACATGAAACCCAATAAAGATTTAAGCTATTGCAATGTTTTAATATGAATACTTGCACAACTTGACAATATTTGATGTTCAACTACTTCAGAGTTGTTGAAATCAGTGACTGGTTTTGCAGGTAGTTGCTTACTTGATAACAGCTCACTGATCTGGAAAGGAAGATAGCATATATGAGTCATACAAGCATATAGGCTTAGAGTCCAAATAATTGCTAACATCTGCATCAAGAGATGTTTTGTTTTTTGCATGATCGATGGTGAAATTAAATGACAAAGTTTTAGGTTAATGTATCAAGGTCCTGGAATTACCATTTGATAAAGGCATAAAGCTCTACTTCAAGAAAAAAACAAGAAAAACATAATATCCCTTTGGTGGAGGTTGATCCTCTCATAGTATATATCCATGTCAAGACTGATGGCTCAAAGAAAAAGATACAACAGCCTCATGCAACTATCCATTTTCTATCAACCAAAACTTTGTCATTTCACATTAATTTACAGTTTCAGTTCATAAACCCCACCTCTTCTCTTTCCTTTACTGAAACCCAAAACCCCACTGTTTTGTGTCAAAATTTATAAGGGATTCCATAAGCCGCAGTATCCAACCCCGCTGCAGGTTCTTAGTCTACAAGTAGTGGCATCAACTCCGCACTCTTTGTTGCTCCAACACTTATGATTGATTTGCTCGTCAGGAACATGGCAAGCACTCTCTCTGTGTTGCTCAGGACGTCTAGAGTTAAGGGCTATTGATGGACAGACTTGCAGTGACAATGCGCTTGCTCGACTTTCCCATGCTCCACTCTGCAAATATTCAAGTTGCTAGTTAGCAGCAACAGAGAAAGAACTAATAATGCATTAAGACTCGATTTACATCTTTTAATGCCTGCCCTTCTGTCTATCAACTTAAAACAGCATTGCTAGGCACACTGAATAGACAGTGTAACCACATATACAAGTATTATTTCTTCCAAAATGATCAGAGCTGTAACAAGAGACAGACCTTTGAAAGGGTCCAGTTGCCTGAGAAATAAGTTTCTGGTAGTTTCTCATGCCAGGACCTCAGAACCTGTATAGGATGGCCCTCGGTTGTAAATATATAATTCCTTTTGGCCACAAATGAGTCATCGAAGAGAAGATATAGGTACTTGCACCTGCGAATGTGAGATAACACCCAATGTGATGTTCTGCATTGCATATGTAAGAAAAGAATAACGTGTAAGAAAGTGAACGCACGTTTCAGCGAGAAAGAAACTGTGCTGATGATCTTCCAATTGCATGGTCGTCACATCTCTAACACTTGCAAATCCCCCTGGCACTTTTGTGTACAGATTAAGAGATTTTACAATTGTTTCACCAACATCTAGATACCATGGATCTGCAAAAACAAGGGCCAAAGGAATGAAATAGATATCTCTAGTCAATGGAGGGATGCCTCAAATATGGTGCTTCACATAATAAACATTCGGGGTGAGACAATAATAAAGAGAAAAAAAAAACAAAAACCTTTTGTAGCTTGGTATAGGTAGAACGTGGATTCTGCTAATTCAGGACGCAATGGATAGTACTTCATTGTCGGATGTATTATTTGATGATCCAGTAGATACCTGAACAAAAATTTGTTCAGCGTACTTTAGCCCCAACAGCAAACTTGAAAATGACTGACAACTCAAGATCCAAGTAGGAATCACGCAAAGAAAAGACAACTGAATACATACCTCTCAGGTAATACACCAAACTTTTCCCAAACATGGAAAAACTCGCGGTGCGATGAATTTGCAGCTGCGATATCTCCAACAAGAACCTAGTAGCAAGAACTTAAGAATGACAATGAGAAGATTCGCTTTTCGACTGTTCTTTTTAAGCAATCCATTCATTCATTATACCTGTAGACCAGGCCAAAACGCCTGAAGACTTGTGAGCTGCCAGTAAGTTGGTTTTCCACTCCACATATTAGCTTCATGGTACCTAAACCAGGTAGATAGACTCATTATTACATATAGCAATTTTCAGTTTTGGCACAATAGAAGTCTTAGTGTCATAATTCATAACAGAGATTGTGGAAGTACATTTTTTCAGGCTAGTATATTACCAAGGCCCATGTCTGAAGTACTTCTGAGATGCCAGATAAGCAGAACGAAACATTCGCCAGTAGTCTTCTTTTCCAAAAAGAATATAAGCCTTCAAGAGGTATTCATAGAAAGAGTCAACCCCTTTAAAAGACCAGAAAATGAAATTACGCATCAGAGCTACATCAATCTAAGGCACAAGTTTATTCCACACATATAAGGAAAATTATTTTGCTATCTCTTCGGAAAAAGAATCCCTCTGAATGAACAACATACCAGCTCCAATGCTGGAGGAGTACTCTATCCATTCCCCAGTTACCACATCCAATGTCGTCCCAAGCAGATCTAACGAACTTCGCATCCTCCATAGCTGACGAAGCGCACGTAGTGCAGCTGATTCAAATCTAGGGTCACCAGTGAGCCGTGACAATGATCCCATTTCAAGAATGAGAGAACCTAAAACGTAAAATGCATATCAATAAATTCATGAGCACATTCGGAAAACTAGTTTCATCGAAGATAAATATTTGTGTTTACCACTAGAATGTAAAAGAAACAAGGGATAACAAGATACATACCACATCCTGAAGTACTTGTTTCAGTTGTCTCATTATCCATTACTCCATTCTGCCCAAAGATATTATTCAGGGTCAAATATGCCTTTTTAAAGAAAACTAGAAGAGCAAGCTCAAACTTAAACTCAAACTCATAAGAGCATAGAAAACTTTTAAGAATTGAATTAAAAATATCAAAAAGACTGTTCCTTTTCGCATTCGATAGCCAGGATTTCAGTGAAGTAAAATTGTATTAGGTGCATTCCATAAGTGACGATTCAGTACCTTCAAATTAATCCATGCATATGGTAATCCTGTAGGTGTTTCAAACGCTGGTAAAAAGCGTTTTCCAAGATCTTCAGCTAATCGAAGAAGCTGATTGTTGTAGGAACCCTGAATCAACCTATTAGTTGGGTCAATTGCAAGAAGATGAGCAGAGATGAGTCCTCCAAGAACTCTTATATTGCACTACAAATGAGAAGCCAAAAAAGAGCACCAGTTAGAAGCATTAACTGCGAGTAAACTCATTTACAGAACTCGAGGACACATCCAGACACTTGAAGAAAGCTTCAACAGACTTTGACGCTTTACCTCAAAAAGGTTGACCCGGGCATCAATATCAAATGTAAGATTTTCTGAGAGCCAGAGAATCCCTTTTTCAAATTCTGTACTGTTCCCCAATATAGCAAGGCTGGGACAAAGAAGAATCATGTCAAACAGGTACTGAAAAACTACTTACGGAATGCTTTCACTTTTGCAAAACATACCTGGATAAGGATTCAACAAGAGTAACAGCTGATCCATTATAATCTGTTGGCAGGTGTTCAAGCTGGAAAAAAGAAATCTTGGAGTCAAGCTACTGCTTCAAAATCGTTTATAAGTGCTATATGAGCTAGTACAAAGTTACCTTAAGATTTCCAAGTTCACTGAGGGAGTCTGTGAAACTTTTTGTTAGAGGCTTTAGCTCATCATGCTGTTGGAATTCAGAACTTAGTGGAATTCAAACACAGCAGCCAGAAATTCATCAACTTATAATGATAAGTAGATCACTAACCGGAAATGCATAAGTCATGTAATTGTCATACGCATGATAGAACCTGCAAAAACGAGATTTGAAAAGGTTTCAATAGTTGCTGAACAAATGGGTCGTGAAGAATTGATATAAAATCCCTGCTTACATACATCTCGCGTACTTTCTCTCGCATTTGTTTCTTCTTGATCTCGAGATGCTGCGATGAAGGGTCGACGACGAAGAAAGCGAGAGAAATAAGTAAGCAGAGGAAGAGACGCTTCGGATGGAGAGGACAAGACATGATGAAGAAGCTGTGTAGGAAGCCAATCAAATGAGAGAAGAGTGAAAAAAGGAGAAGAAGGAATTTATGCATTGATCATCTCCTCCACTCTCCGCCGCGTCTGATCTCTCGATTAGAACAACGCCAGTTCTCTTCTCTTACTGGGGATCTGTTCCCTTCTTTCCATTTGCCATTTTTGCCCTTTTTACGGGTAACAAAACAAATCGACCGAGACACCCAATTGACTTTCTTTTTTTCAGTGAAAGAACTTGGAAATATTGAATTAGCTTACAAAGAAAAAAAAACACAAAACTCAACCAAAATATTTATGATTCATTTTTTTTGGTAAGATTCTTTGCGATTTTTTTGCTATGTTTTTAAAATAATATTTAGTAATTTATTTTGTTTCCTAAACTAATTTTATAAAAAAATTATATTAATTCAATCCAACCCTATAATTTTGGGGGATGGTTACATAAGTATTAATTAGATCAAAATTGTTGTCGTCTAAGAGTTGTCTTCACATTTGGCTGAAATGAGTTCACGATTCGTCGAAAATCTAAATTCACCGTTTGCACGACATTGTTATCTTCCTTCCGCTTGTGATACCATCCAATGAATCACATGGCAATTTCCGGTACAAAGCCAATTCTCGAAAGCTACAAAACGGTTCTCTAATTGTTTAACATCAAGATTTTTCTATCGTTTTTTAGTGGATCTAGATGTGGGACAAAACTTGTTGCAACTATTCCGGCTTGCCACACGATTTTTCTAGGTCTCAACACTGCCGAAAAAGAAAAAAACGATTCTTTTCATTTAACTAGCTTCTATTAACCTGTTGATTAAAGTCGAAACTGAAAAACTAAAGTAGATCTAGATTTAAAAACTTTTCATCTTAGAAAAAAAAGAGAAAAAGTGGAACGATTATTTTTTTTTTATTATGTAAAACCGGATATAAATTACGTTTACCAGATTTCTCAAACGGAATCGAAACGAGTACCAATATTTTATCAAGTACCATCCCAATTATCCGCTAAACTCATCTCTCTACCTAGATTCCAGTCATCAAAACGACCATATAGACTTCCAAAATCCTATCCTAACGATATTGATTAGTGCCAAAATAGTGAAATTACCAAATCCAAAAAAAAAATAAACTCGGCTTTTTCGTTGCTATTTCACCCAATTGCCCTTTTCCCAAATACAAAAACAACCTTCTCTAACTAAAGGTAAAACCTCCCTCCCTATCCATCCATACATGTCCTGAGGTGTCAAAATAAGGCAAAGCCTCTCAGTTCGGCCAGAGATTCCGGTGAAACATCCTCAGATGGCGACAACTCATCCATGTCTTATCGGCCAAAGAATCTCTGTTCCTCAATTTCACCTCCTCTTCAGCCCCAAAAATTCTCCAAATCCGGAGCTCTCCACCAACAAACGCACCAATTTCTCCTTATCTATCGGCCTACGACATTCCTTTGCTTCTTCTATATCAACCTGGAACCCTAAGAAACCGTCTTTAAGCTGTCTGCGAAATTGCGCCGCCGTTGATGGCGCAGATACCAGTTCGTGTGAGGATAAGTGGGATTGGGATCGTTGGAACCGCCACTTCTCCGAGATTGAAGAAGTCGAGACCGTTGTTTCTCTTCTCAAGGTTCTATCCATCTAAACTCTGTCCACTGATGATGTTTTTTTGCTTATCGGTTGATTATAGTTTTCTAATTTTGGAGTCTTCTAGCTTATGTAACAGTCTCAACTTGGAGATGCTGTTGAAAAAGAAGACTTTGAAGAAGCAGTAAAGTTGAAACAAGCTATTGCAGAAGCTACTGTTGATGATGCTGTCGCTGAGATCATGCGCCAGTTACAGGTTAAATACATATATGTGTTTTTTTATAACATCAAACTCTATGTTATCTTCTTTACTTATATATGATTAACTTCCTTGCAGACTGCAATAAGCGAAGAGCGTTACCATGATGCTTCCAGGTTATGTAACGAGACAGGAAGTGGACTGGTAATTTTGTTTATACTTTGTTCTTGTCTTGTTTAGCTTGTTAGATTTTCCTAGATGATACTTACACATTTGAATCAAGAAAAAAGGGAGAAAGTACAAGAGTTATTAAGCTATAGAAGAGATGCAAAAAAGGTTTCATCTCTGTAAACTATTAAGGTAGTTAAGGTTAGTTGAAGAAAAATATGTTTCCCGACATAAGTGATGGTTTCTTCACCTGGTCAATTTATCAAGGATTGCTTCATGTTATTATCCAAATCTCTAGTCAAGAATCTATGCTTTTATCTGGACTGGGATTGTTTTAGAATTTCAAAGCATTTATCACGTTTCTGATGTCTATGTAGGTGGGTTGGTGGGTTGGTTATCCTCGAGATTCTGAGGAACCATTTGGCAGAATTGTACACATAACTCCAGGTGTTGGTAGGTTTATTGGCAAGAGTTACAGCCCAAGGTGAGAGCAGGTTATGCTGAGGATTTAAATTTTTTCTCTCAATTGCTAGTGGTAATTGAATCTCATTACTGTTTCATACAGACAGCTGGTGGCTGAAGCAGCTGGAACACCTCTGTTTGAGATTTTCGTTGTTAAAGACACTGACGGAGGATATGTTATGCAGGTAATTTAAGCAAATTTGTATAATTAAATTTAGCAGTCCTGATGACAGTATATCCTTTTACATTTATCTTGTATTATTGTATAAAATTAGTGTTACATAATTGCTGCTCCAATCACCCTTCTATTCTTTCCTTCTCTGAAGTTTAAATACAGATATATTGTCCTTTCTTCTTCTCAAAAAGCACTGATTAACCCCTTTGAACTGCTGTGTTCAGGTGGTGTATTTGCAACACGTGAAGCAAAACCTGTCCATTTCCGAGAATTCCTATTTAAGAGCACAGCAATCATCAAATACCTCAATCGATGACCCATCCATTCTAGATGAACGAGGAAGTGAATTGAAGGCGGATAAAAAAGAAGATATACAACTAAATGCTGGGGAACCAACTGAAGAAGGAATAAAAAATGTGCTAAAATTTCTAAAAGATAAAATCCCAGGGCTAAAACTGAAAGTAATGGATGTTATTAAAATCCCTGAGGAAGAGATTGTAGGTAGTGATGCTGCTACTGAAGAGCTGGTTGGAGAAGGCATTGAGGAAACAAATTCTTCCGATGATGAAGAAGAAGAAGAAGAAAATGACAGTATTGAAGAAATCTCATCTATGGATAGTGCAGATTATGGAAAGCATTTAAACACTAAGCTTGTCATCGGAGGGGTTCTACATAACATAGAGGATTCCTCTATAAATGATGAGATTGTCCGTGTCTCGGCAGATATAATGGATGCTGAAAGGGATTCCTTTATCTTGCATGTTCCTGGGAGAAGTAAGATTGATATCGATACAAGGAAAAACGGAGTGTCCAAGGAACAAGTAACAGCTCTTGCAGCTCAAGGAATTTCAGATCTGATGCCACCAGAGGTTGCCAAGGCGTTCTGGGGTTCAGAAAAAGCTTCTTTGAAGGTATATTTCTTGAATTTACACCACTTTTTATATTTAAAACCACTTTATGTTATCGAGTTAATGTTTTTAGATATAAGGATTGTTCGTTTAATGTTCTAGGTATCGAGAAATGTGCGTGAGATTGTCAAGCTTGCTATAAATCAGGCGCAAAAAGGAAACCGTCTCTCGGAGTATACATCATTTAATAGAATCATAACTCCTGAAAGCAACCTAGACCCTTTTGATGGTAAGCATGTTATGCGTTAGTGTTATTCTCTTTCTTTTGATTTGGGCTCAGAATGTTTTTGTACAACTCAACTTGGAAAATGTTCTGAATTTGAAGTGCAGGCCTATATGTGGGTGCATTCGGGCCTTATGGCACTGAGATAGTGCAACTTAAGCGTAAGTATGGTCGGTGGAATGATGCAGAAGGAAGTAACTCCTCAGATATAGAGTTCTTTGAATATGTTGAGGCTGTAAAGCTGACAGGGGATCCAAATGTGCCGGCTGGCGAGGTTATTTATCTTTTTAAAATTGTGTTTTACTTTTTTTTTTTGTTTTCAAATCATGACATTTTTGTATGAGATGAAGAATCTAAGATAAGGTCACAAATTCTTGGTAGGTGACCTTCCGTGCAAGGATCGGGAATGGGAGTCGCATGACGAATCATGGTTTGTTTCCAGAGGAATTGGGAGTGGTAATGACACTTTCCTCATCTCCTGAGCTTCAGTTACAGACCCAAAACAAAAACATGCTCAGACATGTAAATCGAATCAAGAACGATATGCTTAAGCTAAACACTTAACCAGAAAAAGATTAAAAACTTGAAACAATTGCTTAGACATTTCATGGGTTCCAACCACATTGACATTTGAATCAAAAGCTTATCCAGAAGTTGTTTACGTATATGCAGCTTGCGAGTTACAGAGGACAAGGAAGAATCGCAGACTTTGGGTTTAAAAACCCAAAATGGGTCGAGGGCAAGCTTTTAAAACTCAACGGAAAGGTAAAACATAGAAACACAAAAGAGCCAAGCATCATTTCTTCGTCTTTCGGTTTTAATGGATGGGGTTTTCTGAACAGGGAATGGGACCATATGTGAAGGGTGCGGATCTTGGATTTCTATATATTGGCCCTGAGCAGAGTTTCTTGGTCGTTTTCAACCGTCTGAGACTGCCTGAGTGACCAATACGCCGTCGTTTCGTTGTAACTAAATTCTCCTTTGCTTTGCTCCTTACACTCACCTCAACAATTTTAAAGCAATATCACCTTGAGAGTGTTTAGAATATAAGAACTTTTGATTTAGTTTTCTGTTTTTTTAGATACTTTGGTTGTAGAATATGAGGAAGTAATCAATTTCAGACGAAATATACTGTGGATTTTGTGCATTATGGGTTGGTCTTTAAATTTCAGTTGAATTTAAATTTGGTTCACATCGGTTTGTTTTAGGCTTCTATTAAGATCTCTGTGTGAGCAAATACATAATAAACATCCCTACTACTAGGTACCACTTACAAATGAAAACAGGGGTCAACTATACAAACTATATCATCGTCATTGGCTAACTATTCTATGAACAACAAAAATATACGTTTGGCTAGATAAATTATAGGAAAATATAATCAAAACCGACTTACATTTAGTCTAGTGGTTTGTGTTAGTATCGTCTATATATCACCATTGAAATTGGAAACAAGCCATGTAAGTTTTTTAAAGCTTCTGCAAATCGATTGGGAGAGAAAAAATTTACATTTTAATAATCTTGATAACTTTACATGTTTCTCTTATTTGTTAAAACTTTTTTTTTTTTTCGTCTGAATGATTCCATATATTCATTAACAAAAGGTCACATACAAAAAGGGAACGAATGCAATCAAACAACAGAAACTCATTACACAGTAGTAATGCATTTATCATTTTCAAACACTTTCTGAAGCCAAAAGGGGTAGCCACTTGCTACGTATGATTGTACACGTTCCTCTCTAGTGACACTCCTAGCAATCAAGACAGCTCCGAGATTACCTTTCCGATCTTCATGAACCACTCTCCAAGCTGGTAGAAAGGATAAGGCTAGAAAGAGACATTCTGATTGAGATTTGAAATTAGGCCAAGCTGCAGGTCGAAGGACAGCACCTGCCAACTCATTCGGCTCAAAGGCAAAAATCACTCTATGAATATGTTAAAACTTAAAATCAGTTATTTTCCAAAATTAGCTGGAATTGGTAAAGTAAAATAGCAATAAATGCAGTTTTGTGTTCCCGTGAGACAGCGCAATGGCGGCCTTAGAAGAATAACTTTTTATTTCTCTCTCTTCCCGCTCCTCCTCCTCCTCCCTCTTTGACATTCCACCGAGAAAAAAGAAAGAAGTTGAAATTTCAACTCTCTCACCCTCCGAGTCCGACCCATTTCTGGACTTGTCATTTCTACAATTAGACTTCTCTCAGATTTTCCTTGTTCTTGTCTCCTTCCGAGGATTTCGATTCCGACACAATCCCAAACAAGGTTAGAATTTTTGTCTCTATGTTTCTCTCTTTGTCCCCTTTCGATTTATTTTTCGTTGTTTTTCTGAAACAAAGGTATTGTCCGCTCGTGTATTGTCTTACAATGGCTAATATGTCCTAATGAAAGGTCTGAAAAAAGATTATATAACGATTTGTGTTTGGATAATGATAAGGACTTCAATGCATTCTTCCAGGGATTCGATTCAATAGATGTTTCAATTTGTGGGTTTGCTTAAAGGATTTGCCTTTATTTCGTTTTTGGTTTAATGGAGCCTTCTCTGAAATTGCCCATCCTTCTTTAGCTCCATTGATGATGTTTGGGTTATGGTTGTGTGCAGAGAGCTTTTTATTCGGAGGAAATAATGGAAGGAGGGTCTGTTAATGAATTGCATTCTAATGCGGACCAAATGTTTGACACAACGATAGAGGAGCTATGTAAGAATCTCTGCGAATTGCAGAGTTCTAATCAGTCTCCTTCAAGGCAGAGTTTTGGATCATATGGTGATGAGTCAAAGATTGATTCTGATCTACAACATCTTGCTTTGGGAGAGATGCGGGATATTGATATATTGGAAGATGAAGGAGAGGAGGACGAAGTGGCAAAGCCAGAAGAGTTTGATGTAAAGTCAAACTCTTCAAAGTTGGATTTAGAGGTCATGCCCAAGGATATGGAGAAACAAATTGGTAAGAAGAATGTGAACAAATCGAACGTTGGAGTTGGTGGAATGAGGAAGAAGAAAGTCGGAAATACCAAGTTACAAAATGGAAATGAAGAACCGTCATCTGAAAATGTAGAGCTGGCACGTTTTTTACTGAATCAAGCGAGAAATTTGGTTAGTTCTGGTGATAACACCCACAAAGCTCTCGAGTTAACTCATCGAGCAGCTAAGTTGTTTGAGGCTTCTGCAGAGAATGGGAAACCGTGTTTAGAGTGGATCATGTGTTTGCATGTTACAGCAGCAGTCCATTGTAAGTTAAAGGAGTACAATGAGGCAATTCCGGTCCTGCAGCGTTCAGTTGAGATTCCGGTTGTCGAAGAGGGTGAAGAACATGCTCTAGCCAAATTTGCTGGTCTGATGCAGTTAGGTGACACTTACGCTATGGTGGGGCAGCTAGAGAACTCGATATCGTGTTATACCGAGGGATTAAATATCCAGAAGAAGGTTTTGGGAGAAAATGACCCAAGAGTTGGTGAAACATGCAGATACCTAGCAGAGGCTCTTGTACAAGCATTACGGTTTGATGAGGCTCAACAGGTGTGCGAAACTGCTCTTTCTATACATAGAGAAAGTGGTTTACCAGGTTCAATCGCAGAAGCGGCGGATAGAAGACTCATGGGTCTTATATGTGAGACTAAGGGAGATCACGAGAATGCCCTTGAGCATTTGGTATTAGCCAGTATGGCCATGGCGGCAAATGGACAAGAGTCTGAGGTTGCTTTTGTTGATACTAGCATTGGTGACTCGTACTTGTCTTTGTCTAGGTTTGATGAAGCGATTTGTGCATACCAGAAATCTCTCACAGCACTGAAGACAGCAAAGGGAGAGAACCATCCAGCTGTTGGTTCAGTTTATATCCGTTTAGCTGATCTCTATAATCGGACAGGAAAAGTGCGAGAAGCAAAGTCTTATTGTGAAAATGCTCTTCGGATATACGAGTCCCATAACCTAGAAATTTCTCCTGAAGAGATTGCAAGTGGTCTTACAGATATCTCCGTGATTTGTGAGTCTATGAACGAGGTGGAACAAGCTATTAGCTTGCTTCAAAAGGCGCTGAAGATATACGCGGATTCTCCTGGCCAGAAAATCATGATTGCAGGGATTGAAGCTCAAATGGGAGTGTTGTACTATATGATGGGGAAGTACATGGAGTCCTACAACACATTTAAGAGCGCTGTCTCAAAACTACGGGCTACTGGAAATAAACAATCAACATTTTTTGGGATTGCACTTAACCAAATGGGTTTAGCATGCATTCAGCTGGACGCAATAGAAGAGGCTGTTGAGTTGTTTGAAGAGGCCAAGTGTATCTTAGAACAAGAGTGTGGTCCGTATCACCCGGAAACACTTGGATTGTACAGCAACCTTGCAGGAGCTTATGATGCAATTGGCAGGTATGTACTTGTGTTAATTTATCTCTTTTTTTACATCCTCCTGCATACCTCAAACAAGTTCGTGGTTCGGTTGTGATTATAGGTTGGATGATGCGATTGCGCTGCTAGGACACGTGGTTGGGGTTCGGGAGGAAAAACTCGGGACAGCGAATCCTGTAACGGAAGACGAGAAGAGGAGGCTGGTCCAACTCTTGAAAGAAGCTGGTAACGTTACAGGAAGGAAAGCTAAATCACTCAAGACTCTAATTGATTCCGATCTCACTTCTTCCTCGGCTCTTCGTTAACAATATGTTACATTTTCTTACTATTTTATAGAAATGTGAATACGATATTTTTGTTTTTTGTGATTATGTTTGTGGAAGTGTTTTCCTTTCATTGTCTTAATCCGGTGTATTTGAATTAACAGGCTCACATATTTGTTTTAAATTTATTGAATGAGAAGATCATTTACCACTTTTAGACAACTTTAAAACTCAGGTTTATCTAGTAAACAACAGCATTACAAGGCATTACAATTATTCACTGTAGTTTGGCTGGCATTCGTTAACCACCAAAACAGCCACGAATCACCAGAAAATAATCAAGATTGATGAATTAGGTAGAACAAATCATAAAAAGCTACTCTAAAATATGAATCGAAGCTCATGTTATAAATATGAATACAAGGCATGCACAATGGCTACTAAAGTGTTCATGGAGCTTCAGGGTGCATATATGCACAATGGCTTCCGGTGGATTTGCAAGGAGAGATACTCTCTAGGGTTCCGGCTAAATCTATGGCACGATTGCAATCAACATCGAAACAATGGAAGGGTCTATTGAAAACTGGTAGCTTTGCTAAGAAGCACTCTGCTAATGCACCAAAGGAGTCTCTGATTATCATGTTGATTGATTCTAGGGTTTACTTAGTAAGGGTCAATCTCCACGGAATTCACAACAACGTTGCTCCATCTGTTAAAATTCCCATTTCTAAATCTTCTTCAAAAGTCGAAGTCGATATACGTGACATCTTTCACTGCGATGGTTTATTGCTATGCACTACCAAGGACAATAGACTCGTGGTTTGGAATCCATGTTCAGGGGAAACCAAGTGGATTAAACCTAGAAAGAGCTACAAGGAATCCGACTTCTATGCTCTCGGTTACCACAACAAATCCTCCTGCAAGCAATACAAAGTCTTGAGGCTGGATCATCATGATGGTAATAACAATGAGTACGAAATCTATGACTTTACCTCGAATTCATGGAGTGTTCTTGGTGTGACTACTGATTGGCATTTAATACCACGTACTGGTGGCGTATCTTTGAAGGGGAACACTTACTGGCTTGCTGTTGATATGATCAATCACGATGTGGTGACATATCCTTATGTCTTACAAAGTTTTGATTTCACAACAGAGAGATTTCAAAGTCTGTCTCTTCCTCTGGTGGTTCCTTATATGTTTATTACAGATATATCAGTGGATAGAGAAGAGCAACTTTTTCTGTTGGGTTATTGTAAGAAGTACCCATTTTCATGGGATTTGCATGTATGGATGGCAACTAGTACAGGAACAGACATGTCCTGGAGCAACTTGGTAACAGCCTTTAATGAGATTTTTTCTTATAGGTCTAATGGGATCAGTTTCTTGGCCGACAAACAGCACAAAGTTGTAGTGTTCTGCGAGAGGTACTAGAATCTCAACAATACCATTTACTTTGCGGGAGAAAATAAACACGTACAAGTGGATTATCATGGTGGAGATTCAACACTCAGATCATCTTGCTCACTTCTTCTGAATTATGTTCCAAGTTTGGCTCAAATTTAACAAGGTACACTTCTTCCACCACGCACATGACTTGTGACAAATTTACGTGTTCCATGTCTTCAACTATCTTTAGATTCAAATAAGTAATTTCATTTGGTTTTTAATTCTTCTTTCTCCTATAAGGAGTAGCTAAAACAAACCGGGTAAATTACTTCTTTATCTAAAAATGTGGGACTAAAAATGATGAAATAGTTGACTACTCTCATTCATTCATGGCATTAACGTTGAGTAATTCAGAATTAATAATCGAAATCTGCTTCATAATCTCTTTAAGTGCGATTTCGTCTTTAAGTATAGATGTATGCGAGACTCCACCAATCTCTACGCTTTTCGAGTTATCGACTTTCAAAGCTGCTAAGCTCGCCAAATTAACCGTCCCATCTCCATCTCCATACTTAATATCTGGTTGCTCATCGAATCCTCCTTCTCCATACACCAAAACCTCCGGTGTATCAACTCCTCTCCCATATATGCAAGTGACTGGCACTCCCGGAGTCATCAGTTCCTCTGTTAAAGGCAACACTCTTGTCTTGTAAGGCACAACTCCTTGAGAAAAACCAATGTCTGCAAGAAACCGACCCATCTCGTAAGCTGTGTAGTTAACCCGAGGAGTTACGACAAGCGGTTTAGTTCTATCGTTAAACACTTTGGCAGATGGAAGTAGCCATTGATTACTCTCGGAGGTCCTCTGCTGCGGTCTGACCAGCAAAGGGTTAACTAAAGGGACACCAAGTGTGTTTCCAGAAGCAAATGTCTTCATCTGAGAGATCGTCCCACCCCATGGTGCAGCGAGTGCAACAAAGTGTTTGATGTACTTGCGACGCCATGAAGGGGTGGTACGGTTGAGGAAATGTTGTACGAAAAGTCCACCTAGGCTATGGGAGAGGAGTATCACTGGTTTTCCTTCGTTCTCGCTGCTAGTTTTTTCCACCAAATGTTTGAGGTCTTGTAGGAACTGTGAGGCTACACGGGACGGGTGGCCCGGGGCTGCCAGACCGTACCTAAAATCATATGGAGCTCCAAGGATGGTTTGGTCGGTAACATAACCGCAGTCTTTCTCTAGAGCTTTCACCAAATGTTCCATGTAAGATGTGGCATCTCTGGAAATCACACCTTATTATTATTAAGCTACATATACATAGTGTCCTTATAATTCTCATCACATAGCAACATTATTAAGCGACAACTAATTTCTAGCTTCATTTAAAATGGACTATCACAACACTCACATTACCTAGTAGCAGATCAATAACCCCCCAAATTAATTAATTCACATTTTGTTCATTATGTAATGTCCCAAAACGAAAAATATGTTGCAAGGTACTAACCGGAGACGAGGGTCAAGGTAGAGAAGGGATTTGGTCGAACCGAAATGAGGAACCCGGGTCTGGACACCAGGAGCATTTTGGTAATCATCCAAATCGGCATCATAGTACAACATCATTCGATCGTTGAAGCACCTGGTGAAGGGAGACAATAACACTGCCGCATCGAACCATAGCCTAAACCATCCACCACTCTTCTTATGGATCGGATATAACCAGCTGCTACACCAAACGCTACTTGGCTTGTATTCTCTGTCCAGTCTTGCCTCTAGCTGGTTACCTCCGTTTCCTGGAACCAGAATCAGAGGGTAGACGTTATTACCCATAGCTTGACACATGGAGATCATTGTCGCCATTACGAGCATCCCTGTGACTACCAAATATCGTGAAGATGGTTCGTTCATTTTCTTTCTAAGAAACAGAGTCTCATTGGTCTATTGCAGAGCTGGAGATTTGGAGAAAATTGAATTTGGAAAGCAGAGTAAGTATCAAAAAACGTAAGGCTTAAGATAAGTAGTATATGGTGGATATGGAACCCGCGTAACCATCTAGAGGCTCTACAAATATTTATTTCCCCAATTAATTTATTTCCTTCTTATTTTGTATTTGCCTACGTGGCATTATACAACGTATTTAACTTGAAACCAGTTTTATGGCCCAAATCGGGTCGACCCGACCGCTTTTAAACTGTACTGTTAAAAAAGTCAAAACCCTTGAAAAACCTAAAACGCAATTGGCTTCGTCGTCTCTAATCTCTTTCTCTTTCTCCGTCGCCACCATGTTTGAGTACCGGTGCAGCTCCATCGATTGGAAGCCATCTCCGGTGGTGGCTCTTGCTACCAGCTCCGACGGCTCTCAGGTTGCCGCAGCTCGGGAGGATGGTTCTCTTGAGCTCTGGCTCGTCTCTCCCGGTGCTTCCTCTTGGCACTGTCAACTCGTGCGTGCTCTTGTTTTTTCTATTCCGATTTCGAACATTTAAGAGTCGATTAGATTCGTGATAGTTGATTTATGTTTTTTGTTCACTTTCTTTTGAGTATAGATCATTCATGGAGATCCAAAATCGAGAATCTCGCACCTTGCGTGGTTTGGTACTGGTTCTAAAGGTTCGTCTTCTGCTAGATTGTTTTCTTCGAGCATCGATGGCACAATTTCAGAGTGGGATCTTTTCGACTTGAAGCAAAAGGTGAATATCACTGAATTAAAAATTTCTAGCTTCTTGTAATTTGTAATTGACAGGTTTTTCTGATTACTGATTCTAGAGATAAGTACATTCCCTTATTTTTCTTGTATTATTTATCTTATCAATGTGATTGTCCAGGTCGTTCTAGAGTCACTTGGAGTATCAATCTGGCAAATAGCTCTGGCGCCTCTTTCCATTGAAGCAGAAGGTAAAGAAGCTACACTGATTCAGAATGGATACTTGAGTGAGAAATCAGATGACGAGGAAGAAAGTGGAGTTGAAGATGATTCAGAGTTGGACGAGCTTGATGAGAGAGTAGAGGCCTTGGATAGGCATCTTGCAGCTGCTTGTGATGATGGCTGCGTGAGGATATATTATATCTCTGAATCAGACAAGTTAACTTACTATAGATCGTTACCTAGGGTCAGTGGTGAGAACTCTTGACTTCCCTTAGCATTGTTTTGATCCTTCATTATTGTATTTACTTAGAGCTTTATTGAACATTATTTTCGTAGGTCGTGCTTTAAGTGTGACGTGGAGTTCGGACGCACAGAGAATCTTTTCGGGTAGTAGCGATGGGTGAGAATAATTTATTTTACTTTGTATGAGATGCATGTTATTGACTTTCCTCAGAGATGCATTTTTGGTTTGAAAGAAGGCCCCTAAATGTTCTTTGATTTGGCTTAAGTTAATTTTTTCCGGTTTTCCAACAATTTTTTGTAGGCTGATAAGATGCTGGGATGCTAATCTATGCCATGAGGTATATAGAATCACAGTTGGACTTGGAGGACTGGGAAATGGGTCTGAGCTCTGTATCTGGTCACTTCTTTCGTTGAGGTAGAGACTATCGTGCTCATATGTTAGTTTTATGTTTACCTTTCCTATTACTGATGATGTACATCCTATTTTAGATGTGGAGTTCTTGTCAGTGGAGATAGTACAGGAAGTGTCCAGTTTTGGGATAGCCAGCATGGAACCCTTTTGCAGGCGCATTCTAATCACAAGGGTGATGTCAATGCTCTTGCAGCAGCCCCAAGTCATAACCGGGTGTTTTCTGCAGGCGCTGATGGACAGGTAAATGATACTGCTAGTGTGTTCACTCATGTGAATCCCAGTTAACAACTGGAATATAATAAAGACTGGTTCCCCATTGACGAGAAATGGAACTTGATAAAGTATAAACAAATACTATGATCGATTATAAAGGTCTTGTAAAACTAAAAAGAAACCTTCCTGCTTTGACATAACATTAGATATGTTGGCTGTAATGGTGACAACTTTCTAATTCTCTGTTCATCCTTTTGTAGGTTATTCTATATAAGCTCTCTGGTGGTACATTTAAATCACAAGATTTTAAACCTTCTTCCGCTCAGAAGTGGGATTATATTGGTTGTGTAAGGGCTCATACACATGACATCAGGGCTCTAACTGTTGCAGTGCCAATAAGTTGGGAAGGTCAGTGGCTTCTACTATATTCAGATTTTCCTGTATGGTTCATAATTAAGATTCAAGTTTGAATGTGTTAGAGTTAAAGGATCACAAACACAGAGAAAACCCAAAGAGTTCAATATAAAGAGTGAGTATCCTAAGAAGTCCTCATTCGACTACAAATAGAAATTCGTTGTAAAACCAGTAACCTAGTTCTATCAAACTACTTGATATATATCCCTAGCACCGATTTTGGCTTGGGCCATAATGTGTATCAAAATGCATATGGGATCAGTGTTTTCTATCTAGGCCTAGTCTTTTTGTTACTTTTTGGTTCTTAAGCTCTCACCTTTTGCAGGTTCCCTTCCAGACAGTAATGCAAAAGTAACAAGTCCTAAACAGCGCAGGAAGGAAAAGCCGGTTGGTTTCAGTTACCATAAATGGGCACATTTGGGGGTTCCGATGCTCATTTCAGCTGGTGATGATGCAAAGCTTTATGCATACTCGGTTCAAGAGTTTACTAAGTTCCCTCCACATGATATATGTCCCGCGCCTCAGAGAGTGCCCATGCAGATGGTACATAATACAGTGTTCAATCAGACTTCTCTTCTCTTGGTTCAGGATTCTTGTTCTTTAGATATTCGTCGTATTCACATAAGCAATGATTCCAGTGGGCGAGTCTCCACCAAGCCATTGGTTCGCGTTAAAAGTAAAGATGCCCGGAAGATCATATGCAGTGCAATTTCTAACACAGGATCACTTTTTGCTTATTCTGATCAAGTTCGCCCAAGTCTGTTTGAGTTGAAGAAAAATGAACTTGGAAAGAATCCATGGAGTGCTAATAGAAAGCGACTTCCCAATCTTCCGTTTGCCCATTCCATGGTTTTCAGCTGTGACTGCGCTCGGCTGATAATTGCTGGACATGATAGAAGGATATATGTATGTGCCAATTTTTTTGCTAGTAACCAATTTTTTGTTTACTTGCTTGACCTTGTCAAACATCTGAACTGTATTTGTTGGCAGATTGTTGACGTTGGTAGTATGGAGCTATTACATTCTTTTACTCCACGCCAGGAGGGGCAGGAAGGCGAATCTCCTCCTCGCGAGCCTCCAATTACAAAACTGTATACTAGCTCAAATGATGATTGGTTAGCTGCTATCAATTGCTTTGGGGACATATATGTGTTCAACCTGGAAACGCAGAGGTGAACATTTTGTGACCCCTCTATTCGTACAATTATTTGTTTAGACTTGTCACTTGTTCCTAGTAATATATATGTGCAGAGAAATATAAGGATGGTTTGCATATATTCAAGCACCTGCTTGTTGTTTTTTTTTCATTTAGGCTCTAATTCTTATTACAGGCAGCACTGGTTCATATCAAGGCTGGATGGTGCATCTGTTGCAGCCGCTGGTTTTCATCCGAGGGACAACAATGTGCTTGTGATCTCGACCTCTTCAAACCAGGTCTTTGCATTGGACGTGGAGGCTAGAGAGTTGAGCAAGTGGTCATTGTTGCACACTTTTTGTTTGCCAACGAGCTACCAAAATTTTCCTGGTGAGGTCGTAGGACTCTCATTCTCTCCGTCACCAAGTTCATCATCTGTAATCATTTACAGCTCCAGGTACTTGATTGGGTTTCAGATTTTTCACTAATTATGACAAACCCCTTGTGATAATGACACTTGTATCTTTGGCTGCATGGCAGAGCTAAGTGTTTGATTGAGTTTGGGAAGCCCGCGGAACAAGACGAGGAAGCGGATTCGCCATGCAATCTGTCTGAAAAGCTAGAAGGTAAACTTGCAAGCATTGGTATGAAATTGGGGAATGGTGCTCAAAAACGTAGGTTAGAGGAGTATCAAAAAGAGAGTAAGAGTAATAAAAGAAAGAAGTTTGAAATGGTAACCTCAAAGCACCCAGTTCTATATTTACGACATCTATCAAAAAGTGCAGTCTTGGTTATAGAGAAACCATGGATGGAGGTTATCAAGAGTTTGGATACACAACCAGTTCACAGACATATATTCGGGACATAAGCAAGGACAGGAAGCTAAAGAAAGTTCCCTTTTATTTCTTGAGGCCCTGCTTAGTGGGAACTAGGAAAACGCAATAGAAATGTTGAAGAGTGTCAAGTTTTGAGGAAGTATGTTTCCTTCCATATGTAGTACAATATATGCCTAAAATTTTGTAAGAGCCTTAATGAGTTTTGTTTATTTTCTTTGTTTTCAATACATTGGATATTGAGCTTTGTAGCTCACACCTAGATTTATATATTGAGAACCTCTTTTTGTTGTTGTTGTTGTTGTGTTCTCTTCATTTTTATGAGTCAATCCATTGTGTTTGGCTGTGATATGGTCATTTTTGCACGATTTCTATCGTAGAGTCCAAATAACTCTCTTTTTCATTCTTTGGTTATATATGACAAGTCTTAAACTCCTTGTGGATGTGGAACGGGAATAGTTTTAAGTTTTAACAAATCTCGCATTCTATAAAATGTAAAATCTTCAAGGTGGAGCATTAAACCCCGTAGGTATACAAAACGTATACTTTTTTTTTATAATGATTCGAATTTTTCTTTTTTTTCCCTGAAATAAGAATGAGAGAAAGTACATGTGTTTGTGTGTCGACCAAATAGAGGATGTTAAACGGCGAAGTCAGGATTTTAAGAAAAAAGGATGACAAAAACAAGACACGTACGAGAAAAGAAGACCCCAGACGTCAACTAAAAAACCACCACGTGTCTCTCCTTCTCTCCCACCGTTGCATGGAGCAGACAGACGCTGCAACTGCCTCGTGTTACTCCCTAACGTACCAATCACTTACCCACACCTCTCTAACTATCTCGAACAAGCAAAGTTTGACGCCAATAACGCCTAACACTAAAACAAATAATTTGAAGCTTTTTACATTTCAAAAACCAAAAAAGAAAACCCTCGCATATTGGTTTGAAGTACATTGCATGTGGTTTAAAAACTAAACTGAAGAAAAGAAAAAAGAGTGGATAGGTGTAGGCACGCATGACGCCCAGCAACAACACGCGTTGCGGTGACACCCTCTGTGATTGGTGAACCGAACCACATCTCTTCTTGTAAAAACGGCACATTAACTCATTTCCTCACACGTGTCCCTATCCCCAACCCTCACTAACACGTACCCATCCTTCTCTCCCCAAATGTCCTTCTTCCTTAATATTCGCCTCTCTCTTATTGGCCCTTCACACTTCTTATAACCTTCCCTACCTCATCACTCTCTTTGATCTCTCACCATCCATATCTAAATATCTTCTTCTTCTTCTTCTTCTTTGAGTTCTTTTTTTTCTTCTTGACGTCATGATAAAGATACTCAACCCTCACTCACACCATTCTCACTCGACCACAACTCTTAAAACAGCAGAGATCTTGTCTAAATACAGACCCATTGCTCCTAAGCCCGGGACGCCTCGAGTTAATGACGATGACCCTTCTTCCTCTATGTCTCACAAGATCAGCCAATCTCCTTACCTTCGTAACCTCTGGCCTCAGCTTCAAGCGCGGCCTACAAGAACCCGCAAGCGAGGCCGAGGCGGGATGGGTCCCTCTTCTCTTACTATGAAGAGACCAAAGTCGTTATGCGGTTCTTCTCCCACTTCTACTAATTCTACACAACGTGTTCTTGGACCTATTAAAACACTGTCGTTTCAGGCTTTCACTCATCATGGGTTACCTAACCTAGCTCAAGTTGGCTACGCTTTGGACAATGGTGGCTCTTCGGCTTTGGTGACTTTGCCTCTTCTTCAATGCTCTCCTCCTTCCTCCAAATGCATGGAGCCAGACATCAAAGGAAAAGGTGTCATTGATCTTAACAAGACCGCGGAAGTGATACAAGAGAGAGATTTCTTGACGCAACTACAAGGACCCATCACCACACCCACAACCGCAACCACAAGCAGAGTCATATCACCGCAGGCCATAAGACCGGTTTGCTCAAAAATCAACGTAGCCTACATAAACCCACTAACCAACCCATCTCCACCATCTCAAACCAGCAAGAAATCACCAAGAGAGGTCGAAGAGGAAGTCGAATCCGATGACTTGCCCTCTGTGATCACCGATTCCAACAACAGGGTCAGGCTCGTGAACTCCGCTTACAAGGAAATGATGGGGCAGCCCGAGTGCTCGTGGCTGGATTCAATGGTGAGAGGGAAGAGGATCTGTGGGGAAGTGATGATCCATTTTTGTGAATCCAAAATTCCAGTGATGACTGAGAATAATGGGTTTTCTTGCTGGGTGAGGATAGATTGGGGAAGAGTCGGTAAGGAGGAGTACATGCATGCCTTTTGCGATGTTACGAAACTTGCTTGCGATTCCAAAGATTATGTCTTTACGTGGAGGTTTCACGCAACCACTGACCGCAGAGAGACTTGTCAGTCAAGCTGCAACGTTTAGATTAGGTTTTGGAATATGTGTGTTACCCTTTCTAGTAGTTCTTTAGCGTAATGATATATCTATATATATATTATCTATAGCAAATATGTAAATGTCAGTTAGTCATAATTTCTGCTGTTGAAATACAGTATGAATTAAGAAGAACAAGTTAAGTTCCTCCTTATAGTAGAATATTGGTATAATAATCTCTGGAAACAGAAACTTTTAAATTTCGTTGGTAATGTACTTAACCTTGTTGTCTTCATGACTTGGGCTGGAAGCGATCGTAGAAGGAGAAGGTCTAATAAAAAAACTCAATGTTGAGTACTTTAAACTACACGCAAGTTTCACGAGCTGGAGGATGATAATTAACCCGTACTTAAATCTGTTTGTGTCTCTTTGCAAACTTGTAACGTAGAAACTTCAGTGTTATTATCTTAAGCAAGAGAAAATGGCATAAAAAATTTTTGTACTGTTCGACTCATACTATAAGTCCAGGGTCCAGGGTCCAGGTATCGGTCCAGATTAAGGGAATCGCTGACCGGTACGCTTGATTGGTTTTTGAGGGGCCTTGTGTGATGCAGTCAGTATTCATATTGCAGCTTTGATCTTACTACCAATGCAAACGCAGATTTCCAAAACAAAACTCAAGAGGAATACTATCGGTGAGCAATTGTGGTATTCTTTCATCTAAGGAAGTGCCTGATACAATATCGATTCAGGTAGATTGTAAGATAGCCCTTTAAAACCAACGTGGCTTGCATATTTGTAGGAGTTCTTACATTACCATCCAACAAACTACAACTTCCAACTTTATTTATCAAGAATCTGCCACTCTGCAACCTTAGTTATAAGCTGAAGAATATTTTGTTACCTGGTCTCGCTTAGCTTGCTCGAGTAACTTCATCCTAAAATCTTGCAAGTCAAATGAAACTCTGTACTGGAGCGGATAGCTCTAGTTCGTATGCAGCTTGGTAAAACTCTGCAGCTTGCTGTGACAAGCCTTGCTTCTTTGCAACGTGCCCTAGCTTCATCCATGCATCGTGATTTCTCGGGTCTAATTTTAAGGCATTCATCAGAAAACTTTTAGCGGTTGGAAGTGATTCACCTCCAGATCTCATCATAACCTCTGCTATAGAAACAATGCTGGGTACGTGATCTGGTTCGATCGAGAGTGAGAGGAAGAAGGATGTTAAAGCCTCTTCATGAAGTGATTTGGCTTCTAGACACAAACCTGTCCCAGCCATAGAAGCAAATGTATCGAGCTTGTTATAAACACGGGAATTTATGAATGTGGAAAACTTGATGAGGTCGTTTAAGACTTTTATGTCTTTTGTCCATACCTGTTTCATTCCAGCCTCTAGGAGAATAATAACTCATGGATCTTGCCTTCTCGAGACATGCTTCTGCATCTGACCATGAACCTAGCTTTCCATAGACAGAGGCCAGGTCTTGCCAAGCTTCCGTTTCAAATTTCTGTAGCAGAGCCTGGGAATAAAGAATAAGATTATTCAGAGATATCACAAAATTCACAGAATATGTTTCTTTCATATTTTGACATACAAACTAGGTACCTCGGACTTTTCAGATTTCTCTTGCGCTCGAATTAGGCCCAGCAAGCTGCTGCATGTCTTCATTGCCTGCTTAGGTTGTTCTTGAGCCATCTGAAGCATAGCTTTTGACTTCAGAAGCTCTAACTTTTCAAGGTCACCAGCCTCTTCCATGGTGAAGTCCAGAATTGATTCAGCATCCTTGAGCCGTTTCTCCGCTGAAAGGACAATAGCTAAATGTTTCCATCCTTTAGTTGAAACTCCTCCCACCATACTAGAATACTCAACCGCACCATCCAAAGCCGCCTGAACATTTCTTTGAACTGCATTCTCAACGCTTAGGTTAAATATAACGTCTAGTTCCGGATCAGCCTTGCCCCTCTTTGCTGCTTCATTTAAAGAGAACAGAGATTTTTTCTGAAGGAAAACCCGTTCAGAGTCTAATTTGGAACTTCTTGCAGCGTTTCCATAGCATACACCAAGGAACTTGTGTGCTTGACTCAAAAGATGTTCACTCTGACTGTTTGCCAAGTCGAGCAGCCTATGAGAGAAATTTATGCCGTCCCTTGAGTGTTTTGGATCTTTAGAGCACAGCTTTGCTCCAAACAATAACCAAGGAATGTGTGGTATTTGTCTTGATTCAGAAGGGCCTAGGGCCATCTTTAATAGATTGATGGCCGCTGTATCGATCCCAGCAGCACTGTAACAAAGGGAGAGAAGGTACCATCTCTCCCCGCGTGTATAAACACCTGGAAGAGTCTCCTCTAGATAGTTCGCTAACACTTCAAACTGTCCAGTCATGGAAAGGGCGTACGTGAGATGATCCATGAGCTCTGCATCCCACTGTATGTCCCCAACCACCATCTTCTTTACAAGTAACATTAGCAACACAATTGCTTCCTCGATGTTGTCTTTTGGGCATGCCTCAACACTCCCGTAAAGTAAAACCAAAGCTAAGGATTTCTGCGTAACAGCTAACCTCTGGGGATCCAAATTCCATGGTCTGGATAAAGCACGGCGATATGAAGCAATAGTTTCATGATGATTCCCCGCTTTTGTCCATAGTAAAGGAAGCAATTCCAGGGCTTTCTGAAAAATGTCCTGCAGTTTAGAGAATCCGCTGATTCCGTCAGGCATGCCACTCGGCAGTGCAGATTCAACCACGTCCAGGATTATTTTGCATTCTTCTGCAGCCTCTGGTAAAACAGTAAACAGCAGGACAATGTGACAAGATTCCAATGCAAAAATCTGGAGAGCATCACAGGTAATATTAAAATTCATGCATACATACCTTGGTAAGAGCCGAGTTCTTCAAGTGATCTAGCTTTAAGCAAGATTGCTTCAAGAAGTAAACTGACTGAATGCATTGACATTGTGCAGGGAGGCACAATAACAACTTTGGAGCGCGGTTTGCAAGGACGAGTTCTCTCAACAATGGCTTTGATTATCCTTGGAGTTAAGACCTTAATGTCAATCCCCTTAAACACCTGAAGCGCTGCATCAAAATTACCTCTCTGATATTCAAGTCTCCCCAACAAAGCCCTAGCTTCCTAAACACACACGAGGAAGAAAAAAACAACTCAACATCAGGATGATTCCAGTTAAAACCAACATAACCAAAAAATTGATGCATCAGAGTAGCTAAAACCAACCTCATAGTTGAGTGATAGAGCTTCCTTTAAAGTCGATTCAGCTTCATCGACTTGAATATCTTCCAATTTCGAATCCCAATCGCCTCCGCCATTTCGAGAAGAAAGTCCACTAGCTGAGAAATCTCTAGTAGCTAGGGATTCCGGCGAACCTGGCTGATCCTCGAACCGGAATTGTTCGCCTGAACAAGCACACAACATCTTCTCCTCCTTCTCCTCACAAACGCAGAAATGTAATGAACAGATTCACAGATCTACGCCGCTTTTATAATCAGCTTCACTAAGGAAAAAACAGAAACATGAATTCAGAAATCAACCACAAATCCTTAAACCTATATAGATTTTTCTATTTTAGCTCCAAAACGAGCTTAGGAAAAAGGAAAAAAAAAGCTACGCAGAAGATACAATGGAGAAATGGAAGAAGCTTACATGAAAATGGCAGAAGGAAAACGCAATTAGCGAAAAGGAGAAACGCGAGAAGCAGCCGCCATGAAAACCGGATTTGATAGGAAGTGACTTATTTATAACTTGAGATTTCTTGGAGTAGTAAGCTAAAAACCAAAAACCTCGAATTTGTGAAATCGATTTTACTCAGAGAGAAGATTCGAAATCGATGAAGGGCTCTTTGTCATTTTGCACTGTGTGTTGTTCATGTCAATGTAAGCAACAAGCCAGCAGCAACCACGCTGTGATTTTCTTTTTTTCTTTTTCTTTTTCTAAGGTAATTTGAATTTTGTTTTAGGTCCCACATTTATATCTGTTTTCAACTATAGCATGCTTTAAACATTCCCAAAATAACCCTACTGTTATGATTAACAGTACTGTAGTATGCATATGTATGAAACGTAAAAATACATATGTCATTATTTCGAGGAGAGAAGGAAGTAACCAAAGAAATGAGTAAATTTAGAAAGAGAGAGGTGATGAGTTTTTTTTTTTTTTTCTTTCGAACAAGTATTATTACTTGACACAAACTGAGATGACTTTTTTTGAGCTTTTTCTACGCAAAGAGAGGATATAAGGCTTGCCTAGTGTTGTACATTTGTTGTTACCCGTCAAAAGCAGGTATGTCAAAATATATACTGAGCGACGAGGACCATGAACGAGCAATATGTCTGTCCTTGAGGAATAAAAGTGACGTGAAACTTAAAAAGAAGAATTGAGTTACCGAAACCTTAGCCCCTGCTCGAGTTTCCCATTACAACTTGATTCTATAAATAAAACCCATAACATCTTCTTATTCATCAGATTTTTTTAGGTCAAACAATCGGAAACTGCAATTGAATCCTGACATTCAAATGCCATTTTTTAGTCTGAGCCAATTATTATAAGTTGAAACAACAAGTATCAAACCCCAAAGCAAAATGTCTCACCATACATGAAAAATAGCATCAACACTTGATCCAATAACCCTCCCTTTCGGTTTCTTGTTAAGCAGCCGAGCTTACAAGAACAAATAGTGGTGTCTCTCCTAGTTTCTCCTTTCCCTTCAAAAACGTTGCAGCCACATATCTCTTCATTAGCAAATCAGTGTAAGAGATTGGAAGCAGATAGTAAAACAGAGATAAAAAAGCTAAACCTTAAGCTCTGGTAACTCAATTACGCAAGCACACTCAACAATCTTCACTCCTACTCGTTCTGCAAAACACAACCAATTGTGGGAGAGAGAAATAGTCAAGTTTAACTGACTTGCAAATGCTGCATTATCAAAAGAATGAATTTACAACGTGAAAACAAATCAAAGTCTCAAATCTTGGACTTACCAAGTAGTCGGATTGCAGCAGCGAGAGTCCCACCCGTTGCAATGAGGTCATCAATAATAATAGCACGCTCACCAGGCTCTACTGCACCTACATGCATTTCCATCGTATCTGTTCCATACTCCAACGAATACTCCTCTGAAATAACTTTCCCTGTTAAAGAAACCAAAATCATTAGGAATTGTAAAAATTAACTTCCATGGACAAAACAGGGAATGCAATAATTATTTGACACTGCTCAATAAGCTTCCAAATGACTTAACACATTTCTTGTAATTGGTCAAGATATACACCTTAGTCCACCGATATGTAACAGAAAAAATAGCAACCACTTAGGCTACTACGTGTTACCACAAAGAAATATGATCTAGCAAATGAGTAGCATCATAGATAATCGAAGACATAGCAAGATAAAAGTCACTTGCTCATGTTCAAGATAATGATAATGTGTAGACTTAGAGCAATAAGCCATTTAAACTAACATCTTCCTACCAAACTTTATTTGTTTAATTTAATGGATACCCAGCCAATTGAGACCTCGGATGTAACTCAATATCAAAATCACAAGTAGAGGAAGAAAGAAAAATATACCAGGTAGCTTCTTGGGCTTCCTCATGGGAACAAATTTGGCACCAATAGCCAACGCAATAGGAGGGCCAAAAATGAAACCTCTAGCTTCAACACCTGCATTTACCACATCATCCATTTAGGCAGAACCAAAAATCATTACAACTTACAGTTTAGGCTAACATACTCAGTATTCAATCAAGACCAAAAGCAACTAAATCTAGTATTGGAGAAACCCACAAGCTATTAATCGATTGAAGAATCAAACAGACCCATAAGAGTTACCTGCAACAACAGATATGCCTTTATCTTTGTACCTATCAACAAACAACGCAATAGTATCCTTAAAGGCCTCAGTGTCTAGAAGAAGCGTCGTTATGTCCTGAAACATGATTCCTGCCAAGTATCCAACCAGATCAAGCCTAAGAGACGATAATCGGTTTAAATAACAAAAGCCTCGTGGAAACATAGAAAGAAAGGAGACCTGGTTTCGGGAAGTCGGGGATGACTCTAATGGAAGAGGCGATCTTGGCGATTCTCGGATCTTGCACATCTTCAGTCGCCATTTCACTGTCCCGACTCGCTGCTGCTTTTTAGCAAAAGACTCGGCGTCAGATTTGCAAACACAGAGAGACCCTAAGACTCAAAAATGACCACTTTATCCTAATGATTTCACGCTTTGACGGAATTGCCCCACTCAAGCAAAAATATCTATTTTTTTTCCAAAGGAAACAAAAAGTTTAAAAGGCAAATAGAAGGTGGTGGGGTCTACCGGCGGAGGAGAAGAGGCAGGGTGAGGTGGTGGAACGGTGGTTTGAGAGACGGATCGAAGGAGGAGCACGGTGGTAGTTGTTGGGAAGACGGTAGCGAGGAACAGCAGGAGCAAGACAGAGACGATGAGAAACAAGTGGAGAAATTATTGTTTGCATCGTCGTCTTTGGACTGAGAGATCTTAAAAGAGAATGTAAATCAATACAATAAAACTGGATGGTATTCTCTGGTACCCTTTGACCAATAAAACATTTCTCATATACTCCTCAATGGTAGAAAGACAAAATTACCCTTAATGAGGGTTGATTTTGGGTGATAAAGGTTAAATAGAATTAAATCGGTAAATGTTCAACGAAAAACACAATAGCTCAGTAGTTGCGAGCTCCATGCGGGCGCTCGCCCCCAGGGTTCGAATCACAATACAACTAGGTGGTACAACTAGGAGGAGGTACAACTGGTAGGTAGGGGTACCAGTTGTACCACGTAGACCTAGTAAAATTTTTAGAATATAGTAAGGGTAGAAGGGTATGTAGAATAAATGGGGATAGAAGAGAAAAGTTTTTCACACATAGAGGCACAAGAGAATAAGATCCAATAAAACTACTAAGAGTCTCTCCAGCAGTGACACATCAGCTTTTTAAGCTATTGTGGGACTGACACATCATTAAAAATGATACCCAATCAAAACATAACAATTAATACAACTCAGCTCTCCAACATGCCACATCATCTTTCCAGTTTGCCACATCAGCTATTTATTAAAAAAATACATCATTTAAAAAAAAACAACCAATCAAATTAAAACATATAATAGACATACTTATTTTTAATTTTTTTTAATAATGATACATGAATTTCTAATTTGTTAAAAAAAACAAATTCAAATTATAAATAAAATGAATAAACATCAGCTTATGTTGACACATAAAAAAAAAAAATTATTCTTATTATTTAATGGAATTGATCAAATATCTAAATATAAACTTTATATCTATATTTATTTTTACATAACATATTTATATTAAAGACGCTTATAATAAAAAAATTACTATATAACTCAACAAAACATGTTCCGATTCAGTTTACTCATAAAGTTTTTGATATAATCACGTCCACCAACATTTTGATTTTGTACTACTAGAATTTGGTTAAATAACTATATTCTTAATTAAGCCACTAATCACAAGATGTATACAATCACTTTTATTATTTTTTGTCTTACTAGAAGCTGATATTTCATTTTAAAAGTACAATCAATCAGATTAAAATAAATAATACACATCAGCTTTTATTAACATGGACAAAAATTATTAAATAAAATTTATAAAATATCTTAATTGGAAGAAAAGTTCATATTCCTAATTGTAATGATTGTTAAATCACTAGATCATGTAAATATATAAATTTAAATAAGTTTTTCTATTCGTTTTTTTGGTTTGCAAATTATAGTGACTCTATAAACAAATTATTGATGTTAGTTGAGTATATCAAATAAAAGAGCAATAAAAAAAGTAACAGTGAAAAATATTTGTATTTTTATCTACGTTTTGACGGTGTAATTGTGTTATAAAATAATAGTAAATAGTATTTCCTTGATTTGTTGCTAACATCGAGATTGTAGGTTTTTGGCTATCAACCCTCCGTTACGAAAATTAGTTAAAAATTTACAAAATTCAATAACATGATTGGAATAATAATTTTATATTAAAATTATGGTATAAAATAAATTATAAGTTATCATTTTAACAAATCATTGTGATTTAAAAGTTAATAGAATAATTTTAAAATTTGAAAGTCTATGTTAAATATTTTAAGTGTGATTCAAATTATGGTTGTGCACCATGTATATCTTTAATGAAAAGAAAGTAAGGTTCTTGAAATATAATAGTCACTGACTATACGGTATATTTACTTTATAAAAGTAATATATAACATATATTTATTAATGTATGCATATATAATAAAATAAAAACTACAAAAATTTGAGTAAAAGTAAAGTACCCAATCCTAGAATCATTTCAAACTTCTACCAATCATACTTATAGTTATATTAAAATAAAGCTAATTTACAAAAAATATCCCGCGGCAGAGCGCGGTTCTTTTTCTAGTTACTTTAAAAACGGAATAATGGACAAATGCCGTGATCAATGACTTTTCAAGTCTAACCAACCTAACTCATCCATTGTATCTTTTTTTCTCATATAATATTGGATGACTCCAACAAGATTTTGATTCTCTTAGAGTATTCACACTCCAACAGATTATTATCCACAATGTTATGGTTATATTGACCTACGGAAAAATCACCCCCAACAAAACATATACATTGCCTTTTAAACATAAACAAGTCACTAGTAAAACTTAAAATTGTTACATTCAAAAAAAAAAAAAAAAAAACCTTAAAATTGCTGTCATTAAATATTTAGAGATATATTACAATGTTCATTTCATAGTCGTTCCTGACATAAAACGATCAAAAAATAAATCATACAGTGATCATCGAATAAATTGTTTATTGACTGTGATTCAAAATTTAACGATGACAATGTTTAATCACTAATCATTGAAATATGTCACCTAAAATTGTCGTATTACCAACAACTACAAAATAAATAAATAATAATTGTTGTCGTTAAGTAGTTGTTGCTGGCCAGTGGCCACTGTAAAACGATCATGACCAAATTACTATGGAAGTTCCATCTAGTCAACGTTGGACGTTAGCGAGGCCCAATGGACATTAACTCAGCCCATAAAGACACCCGCCTTGTGACGTGTACCAGTTTCCGTCTTGGTCGTTGAATTCATGAAAAAAAAAAAAAAAAAGTACATGACAAGCAAATTTCTTACTTATCTGTGACTTGAAGCTATTTCTCCAATATCGTTTTCCATCTTCTCTGTTTCATTTTCACAATTCACATCTTCCTTCTGAATAAAATAAACCCTAAAACCTAATCCCGAAGTAAACTCGTCAACCACTGCGCCCATGACCTCCCAACGATACTCTTCCCTTATATGCTTCCTCTTCCTTCTTCCTTTCTGGGATCCAAACCTTCGCACACATCTCCGGTGAAGATATGAAGATCCGCTCTTGCCTCTCCGCCATTCTTCTGTCCTTCTTCTTCTCCGCTTCTTTTGCTGAACAAAATGTCCGGACAGAGCGAATTTCAGGTACTTGTTCCAACAGATTGGAATGTAGAGTTCAATTGATTTTTTTTTTTTTTTGCGATTGATCCTTTAGGTGTGTACTAGTTTAATCAAATAATTTGAAATCGGAGGTTTCTTCAGTGTATACCCTTTTCAAATTTGTTTATGTATTGTATTTGTAATTTGATTTGCTGTGTAAGAGAGCTCAAAAATGTGGTTTTGAAATGCAGGAAGTGCTGGTGATGTTTTGGAGGATAATCCAGTGGGAAAGCTTAAGGTTTATGTATACGAGCTTCCAAGCAAGTACAACAAGAAATTACTCCAAAAGGATCCTCGATGTCTTACACACATGTTTGCTGCTGAGATTTTTATGCACAGGTTCCTTTTATCTAGTCCTGTTCGAACTCGTAATCCCGATGAAGCTGATTGGTTTTACACTCCAATCTACCCTACTTGCGATCTCACTCCTACAGGCTTGCCATTGCCTTTTAAATCCCCGCGTATGATGAGAAGTGCGATACAGTTAATCTCATCAAATTGGCCTTATTGGAATCGGACAGAGGGAGCTGATCACTTCTTTGTTGTTCCCCATGACTTTGGAGCTTGCTTCCATTATCAGGTAGATTTTCTCGGCACTCAGGAACAAACTTTGTTTTTATATGCATTGAATACTTTGGTGATTGCTGTTCATCAAGAACACCCTGTGATCTAACAGTCATACATGATCATTAGCTTTAGGATAGCTGTTATATCATCACACTATTACCTGGTTACGTGGAAACTGAGCATCTGCTTATGTGTTTATTGCATAAGATTGTGGACTTGATTTGTGTGGGAATTGAAGATTTGATTGACATTAAACAGGAGGAAAAAGCAATTGAAAGAGGGATACTTCCGCTACTCCAGCGTGCCACTTTGGTTCAGACATTTGGTCAAAGGAACCATGTCTGTTTGGACGAAGGCTCGATCACTATTCCTCCTTTTGCACCTCCACAGAAGATGCAGGCCCATTTTATTCCTCCAGATATTCCACGTTCTATCTTTGTCTACTTCCGCGGTTTATTCTACGATGTTAACAACGACCCAGAAGGCGGCTATTATGCTAGGTAAATATTTTGTAGACTTGTATAACTTTTCAGTGATGTGGTTTTGGTAGAAGTGGAACCGTCAAACTCAATATTATCAAACATTAAAAGAAGCACATATTTATCATGAACTTCCTGCTAAGATCACAGTTCACCATTCCTCATTAGGAGGCTAGGTTATATAAGGTTAGCTAAGATCAAATTGTCTTGGAATCTCCTGAATGAAACTTCTCTCTTTGTATAGAGGTGCAAGAGCAGCGGTGTGGGAGAACTTCAAAAACAACCCTCTGTTCGACATCTCAACAGATCACCCGACAACATACTACGAAGACATGCAGAGAGCCATCTTTTGTCTATGTCCTCTAGGATGGGCTCCATGGAGCCCGAGGTTAGTTGAAGCGGTTGTGTTTGGGTGTATCCCAGTTATCATAGCAGACGACATAGTACTGCCTTTCGCAGACGCCATCCCCTGGGAAGAAATAGGAGTCTTTGTTGCGGAAAAAGACGTCCCTGAACTAGACACGATCCTAACCTCGATACCAACAGAAGTGATACTCAGAAAACAGAGACTCCTTGCAAATCCTTCGATGAAACGAGCCATGCTCTTCCCTCAACCGGCGCAACCAGGGGATGCATTCCACCAGATACTTAACGGGTTAGCTCGGAAGTTACCCCACGAGAAAAGCATATACTTGAAGACAGGTGAGAAGGCACTGAACTGGACTGCTGGTCCTGTTAGTGACCTTAAACCTTGGTAAACTCATATAGAGTTATATTTCTTGTTGTATATCTTGGGTTTCACCTTAGAGTTATGTCTGAGTTAAGAGCATACGTTGTTGCCTCTTTTTAGCACCTGAAAAACATTAGAAGTCCTCCGTGTGGATTATTTTTATAGATAACATTACTCGAGGTACCAAGTTGATGTACACCTTCTCTTCGGTTGATCATATAATACTACTGTACACTCTTTTTGTCTTCGAATTGTCAACTTTTAAGTTTTAACTATTAACTCCAATCATGCAAGTTTCAATGTCCAATAAACAGAATAGTTATGAAAACATGTGGTATTTTTTTTGTGAATGAAATACTAAAGAGTATTTTAAAAAAAACTTTTTTTTCTTTCTTAAAGTTGTTAATAAAAACCAGAACGAGTTAGTCTGGTGGTAAACGGCTTGCAGATGCAAGAACGGCCCCGGGTTCGATTCGCACTGGCCACCAGGGAATTTACATGCGGACTTGCTCTGGCGCCCGAGACCGAAGACCGTTACCTGGCCATGACCCACCTTCGGGTGTGCGCCGCAATCGCGGCCGAGTCCGTGCCGTAAGGGTTCGGTCTCTAGTCTGGACCACTTCGGTGGGGCAAGGACACTCGGTTATCAAAAAAAAAAAAAAAAAGTTGTTAATAAATTTTGCCAAGTAGAATATATCAATATATTTAGCAAAATTGTTAAAGTCGTAGTTAAATGGGCCTATAGTTTACTAACAAATGGGCTGATCGAGGTAAAGCTCGAACTAATCTAAGACCCTTGCTCGTCTCTTAATGTGAGAGAAAGAGAGAGAGAGGCGGCCATGGGAGGAGGAATGGGTGCGTTTTGGGGAACTCGAGTGATGGAATTGGTGAAGAAGCACGATTCCGGTGGTCTTCTTTGGAAGCGGATCAAGCTTACACCTACTCGTAAAGCCAATGCCAAAACCCGCCTCCGTCGCGTTTGGCAGGTACTCTTCTTTTTCTATCTTTTAGGGTTTATGGGTTTTTGAGACAACTTTTCTCTTTCCGTAGTCTAGATTCTCTCTTCTGCGTTCACTTCCCTAGAATTCACCGCCAAGGATGGATTAGGATTGTATTTATTGGTTTTTCATGTTGAAAGCGGATTCATTTCAACATTATCAGTTTCGATTGCAAAATGTTGTTCAGTCTGTGTGATGTGGTCTCCTTAGGTCTGATTAGTTGTAATGAGTTAGGACAAGGCCAAATGTGTAGTTTGTAATTACTTATGCTGTCAAGATTTTGTTCTTGGTAGAAGCAACTTTAGGCTTCTTAGTATCTTTCTGTCGAATTAGGAACAGAGTATATCATCAGCTTTATTGATGTTATTATAGTGAAACAATGTAGCATTTAGAGTTTGCGTATCTATCAATCATACAAACACTTGGAATTCATTTTTTTCCGATTTGGTGTTTGGTGTATCATGCAAAGGTTGTTCATCTCTCAATATGCTTGCGTTATTTTTGAGCTCGTTTGGGCTATCTTGTGCATCGCAGTGTGTTATACATTTTTTTGGTAAAGCTTGTCGATCCATCAACATGTATGTGGTGATTTTTGAGCTCATACCCAGGAATTTATAAAAATTACCAGGAACATTTTCGATCTTCTTCGACACAAGTATTGTTTTAATAGTTGTGAGAGTCTCTTGCAGAATGAGGCTGTTCTAAGGGCGTGTGGTGAATCAGATGCACCAAATTCTCCGGGAGCTAGCAACACAAAAAGCTGTAGCAGTGCGGTGAAAAATGAGTAAGACGGACGAGAAGCTAGTCGTAGTTTGTAAGGACTCGTAGATCAAGTCTCTGTCGTTACCTGATTTAACAAAATAAAATTTGAACCTTGTGTTTGGTTATTATTGCAAAAGGCACCTCCGCACCAGAGTACAACATGGGATTGGAGTCTTATTACTGCTTTTTTTGTTGTTGTCGTCAAGAAATTTGTTCGTCTCCTTCTTCAACGCAATCTCGAATTTGCTGAAGTTGGCCGTTTAGTGGCTAGAAGTGGATGCCTGTGGGACAATTTTTGAAAAAATCACTTAAATCTCTCTTTTGTTTTTGTTTCGCCGGTTGATCAAAAAAAGTTTTTGTTTTCTCCGTTGTTACATAACAGGTTCAAATCTTGTTGAAAAGTTTCAAGTATATTTAAATCATAAATATATTAAGAAATTTTATCAAATACCACTTTTACTATATTCCTCTCTTAAGTAAAAAAAATACCACTAATATAATCGTTATACCTTCAAATAAAATTGAAACAAAACATTAAAGGAAAGTAGTACTGGAAAATTAAATTTAATACATAGTGGTTTAAATAAACAAAGTCCCATTAATAAATGAACAATGATTTTTTTTCTTTTTTAAAACCTGGGGTTGACAAAAAAAAAAAAAGAAAGAAAAAAACAAAAACTGGGGAAAGTCGGATCGGTGTTGTTAAACAAGCAAAGCCCTCCTTAGCCTTTCCTTTCTCTTGCTCCTTCACTCACTCTCGATCTCGACGCGAAAAGCTTTTTCTCTTCCAAAGGCAATTATCGAAATCCTGCAAAAAGTTTCTCCGCCAAATCTCTCCAAAACCCTTTCTCTTCTATACTTGGCTTCTTCTTCTTCTACTGCGGTCGCTCCTTCGTCTCCATCTTCATACGTAATCTCGAAGTCGGTTGTTTCAATCCTGCCATGGCCGAAGGGAAGTTCGATCTGCCTGACGATCTCATCTTTTCCAAATCTTCTGATCAGCTGAAAGGTACTTCTCTCTCAATCCTCGTCTTGTTTCTCTTTTTTGATTCAAACTAGATTTCGTGAATTTGAATTTGAATTTCTTTCCCTCTCGACCGATTTGAATGCGGAGAAACAAATGTAATCGTTTGGTTTCTGGATCTGAATTCGATAGGATGCGGCAGCCATGTATAGCAAGCAGATTTATCAAAATTTGACCTAGTATGTGGTGATTAGGGTTCTACGATATCATTCTTATCCTTTATTAACCTTGTTATGCCCGCTTTAGATGCATTAGCAACTTCATGTTTGAATTAAAACGAGAGACGGAATTCTCTTTTGTTGCCGATTCCAGACTTTGGGATCTGGAAAAATGAAATAATGGACTTTGTTCGTGCCTCTAATTCTGCCATTAGTGGCTTTCTGACTCTGTATCTGTTTGATTTCTCTGATTTCCTTCACCTATTGACTACCTTGTATTTGTTTTTTTCTGCAGAATTGGCGTCAGATAACAGCATTCCCTTGTCTCCGCAGTGGCTTTACACGAAATCAAGCGAGAGCAAGATGGTAATACCTAATCTACAAAGATGCTATACAAATCTTGTCTTTTTTTTTCACCTTATTGTATCAGCAGATGCTATGCCTGTTCTTCACATCTAGAAAGTGTCAAGTTCTTTGTTTCTTTGTAACATTTTTACTCTTAATTCTTCATCTGATATTCGTTCTGTGTGGTAGGATGTTCGATCTCCTACTCCTGTTCCCATGGGAAATCCAAGTGACCCAAATCTGAAGGATGCATGGCGCTTGGATGCACCTGAAGACAAAAAGGACTGGAGGAAAATTGTGCCTGAGAATGAAACTAGTCGCAGATGGCGTGAAGAGGAAAGAGAAACTGGTTTACTCGGTGCTAGGAAAGTTGATCGACGAAAAACAGAACGTCGCGTTGACACTGTCTCAAGCAGAGAAACTGGTGACAATAAAAATACTGCTGCTTCTGATAGGTGGAATGATGTTAATTCTCGTGCTGCTGTAAATGAACCCCGGCGCGACAACAAATGGTCATCTCGGTGGGGTCCTGATGACAAAGAGAAAGAAACCCGTTGTGAAAAGGTAGATAACATCAAGGACAAGGAAGAGCCACAGGGTGAAAGTCAATCTGTGGTTAGCAGCGTCCGTACAACTTCTGAACGGGACTCCGACCCTCGTGACAAATGGAGGCCTCGTCATAGGATGGAATCTCAGGCTGGTGGGCCGACTTCTTATCGCGCTGCACCTGGGTTTGGACTTGATAGAGGACGAGCCGAGGGCCCAAATTTAGGGTTCACTGTGGGCCGAGGAAGGGCATCTACTATTGGGAGGGGTTCTTCAACTTCCTTAATTGGTGCTGGTAGTGCTTCAGCCCCTGTGTTTCGGTATCCAAGGGGTAAGTTGCTTGACATGTATAGAGAACAGAAGCCTGATCCTTCCCTAGGTAGGATACCGACTGAAATGGATGAGATTGCCTCCATAACTCAAGTGGCTCTGATCGAACCTCTTGCTTTTATCCCACCTGATGCCGAAGAAGAGGTATGGTCCCCACTGAGAACTTGTTTCCATCGCCCTTTTTCATAAGTGTGCATTAATTTTACTGTTTCTTATTTGTAACTGACTTTTCCTGAGTTTCTTGACGGGTATCTTAATCTTGTCTATTAGGCAAGCCTTAACGGCATATGGAAGGGAAGGATCATTAGTAGCGAAGTTTATACTTCATCTGGGGAAGAATCCTTAGGTGAAAACAGTCTGGGTATGTTATCTTTTCTTTTGTTGCTTGGCCTCTTATCATCCCACCTAGCATGATATGAGGAATGCTTCTCTGACCTTAGTCTTTTGTATGTACTGCAGTGGAATACCGCATACCTGACTCAGGTGAGACAAAAGTGGATGGTGCTTTTAATGGTGACAATAGTTCCCTGCAAAATAATGATTCCGGTACGTGCATGATGGGTGTTAACCGTGTCTTGGTCTTAAATATCATGTATTTTTAGATAATGTCCATTCTTATCAGTTTCTCGCAATTTTCATGTCCTATATATTCTGACTAAAAGTCGAACAACTATTGTTGTAGGATTACTTGGTAGTCAAAGTGGAAGTTTAGGGGCTGCTTCTAGCGTCTCAAGATTGAATTTAGTGGCTTCTGAAAGTTGTGGATCTGTTGGAGCTGGTTATCAAGCTTCTCATGGAAGTCCTGAAGCGGTTAGATCTGCGTTTACTAAGTCCTCTGTGTTGGATGGGAGTGAATCCGTTATTGCTTCTTTCGAGCAAGATTATACGGGCAAGCTGCAGCAACCAGATATTGAAGTGAATCACTCGGAAGGGGCTATGCCACCTGAGGAGTTTTTGTTCTTGTATATTGACCCTCAAGGAGTAATTCAGGGACCGTTTATTGGTTCTGACATTATTTCATGGTTTGAACAAGGGTTTTTTGGGACAGACCTACAGGTTCGCTTGGCAAATGCTCCAGAAGGAACTCCTTTTCAAGATCTAGGTAGGGTCATGTCATATTTAAAGACAGAAAGCGTTCATGCCCATATCAGTGACCAAAAGAGTGAGCTAGAAGAGACTAGTTTAAAAGAAAATTCAGAGGCTGGTGTATCAATTGCACCTGTAGCAGAATCTAATGATTCATCCTCATTGACTGGCATGTCTCGTTCATTTTCTGGGTATGATAACCCTTCAGCTCAGGATAATTTTCTGAGAAAGTCCGAGTCAGAAGTTTATGTAAGACCACCACATGCCGAGGACCAAAGCTTCTTGGACTTTTCTGCTCAGGATGAAGGTTTGTTATGCTGTTATCCTTTTCTCATTTGCTGGGTTTCATTATCATATTAATTTATTTTGTGTTCATCATAACTAATCAATGTTTTTTTCTATTTATCTCTAAATTAGAAATTGTATTCCCAGGAAGAGCTGGAGTTTCTGGTTGTGCGTCGTCTGTAAAATCCTCTACAAGTATGCATGATACTTTTATGGAATTTTCTGGCCACTCTGATATCCCTGTTGAATCAACTAAGGCTGCTACTCGAAATCAGAATGAGAATAAGCTGCACCCATTTGGTGTGTTGTGGTCTGAGCTAGAGGGCGGTAGTACACCAGTTAACCCGTCAAACAGATCTTATGGTGCGATGGGGGAGCCTACTGGTTCAATAGACAACCGTCCCATTAATTCCCGAAGAAATACACAAATTGACCCCAGCATGTCCCTCGATACTCTGACTGCTAACCGGATGTCACAGTTTGAACATGAATCCAACTTCTTTAATCATGGGGATCAACATCACCAACAGCATTTCCAGAATCGGGATATGCTGTCGCATTTACATATAGGTGATCAAGCTCAGGATCTGGAGCATTTAATAACTCTCCAGTTGCAGCAGCAACAGAAGATTCAGTTGCAACAGCAGCAGAAGATTCAATTGCAACAGCAGCAGAAGATTCAGTTGCAACAGCATCAGCTGGAACAAGAGCATCAGTTACATCAGAAGCTCTTACAGGAGCAACAACAGTCCCATGCTCGACAATTACATTTTCAACAGATTTTACAAGGACAGACACCTGATACAAGGTTTGGGCAGTCACATGACTTCCCTCGATCCAACAATGTTGATCAGATGTTGTTAGAGCAGCAGCTGATGAATGAACTGCAGAAAAGTTCTGGCCATCCTTCACAAAATTTCGCACCATATATTGAGCAACTTGCTGCCGGAAATTTTGAGCAGTTTTCTCATGAAGGCCATCAAAGGGAGCTACTTGAACAGCTACTTTCAACACAAATGCAGTCTCAGTATGGACAAAAGCAATCTCATTATGGACAAATGCAATCTCAACACGGACAACTGCAATCTGAAACAATCCGGTCTTTGGAGTACCAGCTGCTGCAGCAAGAGCAGCTTATGCAATTGGCAAATGGAGTGAGGCACAATACACTATTCGAGGAACAAAGACATATTGACCCTCTGTGGCCATCTGACCATAGTGATCAGCTTTTAAGAACTCATCCTGGTATCCAGCGTTCACACTCTTCTGCAGGGTTTAGACCATTAGACTTTCATCAACAGCAGCAGAGGCCACCCTTCGAGGATCAGTTTGGTCAACTTGAGCGGAACCTTTCATATCAGCAACAACTTCGACAAGAATTATTCGAGCAGGGTCTTCCATTTGAGAGATCAGCATCGGGGCGGAATCTGGATGCAGTAAATGGTCTTGGTCTCTCTCAGGGTCTGGAGTTGCGGGATGCTACTGCCCACATGCAATCTTCTGGCAGATTGGGAAATTCTACTCCCGGTTTCAGTCATCAGAATCCCCGTATACCATTAGGTGAACCACATTTTTCACAATTGGAACCAATGGAAGGACGCTGGTCTGGAGCAGATACACAGCTAGCTGGTGACTGGGCTGAATCTCAATTTCGTAGATCTAATATGGATACTGAACATCATAAAATGAGGTCGGAAATTAGGAGACTGGGTGAAGATTCCAACTCATGGATGGTAGGTGGGTCTACAGACGACAAGTCAAAACAGCTTTTTATGGAGTTGCTCCACCAGAGACCCGGCCATCAATCTGCTGAGTCACCAAGCATGAACCGTGGGTATCCCTATGACAGGATGGTTCCTTCAGGCCTTACCCCAGGGATTCAAATGCTTGGCGGCTTTTCGGACCATGGTGGTAGTCAAATCGTTTCATCTGCTTTTGGGGCTCGTTCATTTTCTGATGAACAAGTCAACAGAATGCCGGGAGATAGGAACAATATGGGATCATTGCACCGTAATGGTTCCTTGCTTTCTGGAATTATCGATGGTGGGCGGTCAACTCAGAATGAAAGTCAAGCCTTCAGTAATATGTTTGCTATGAACAAGGACGCAAATGACATCAAAACTTGGAACAATGTGCCGCCTAAAAATGAGGGAATGGGAAGGATGATGTCATATGAAGCCCAAGACAGAATGGGTAAGCAAGCAGTATTAGACTCCCTGGTTCAAGACGAGCTCCCTGTTGTTACACCTGGTCAACAGTCTTCTTTCAATATCTCTGGTATGTATCTTTCAGAGTAATTGCATCTTTTAAGATTTTGTTTTTTCCCGGAATTCATGGTTTGGAAGGTTGATATTTGCTTTGTTATTATGAAGGCTTATCCTGATATTATGTTGCTGCAGACCAATACAGTGACAACTTGGTTGGAGAAGATAGAAGGAAGGATAGGTAATTTTTTATTCTGCGACATTAAGCACCAGTAGATTAGATATATAAAACACCCTGAACTCGCATACCTCTATATTCCTGCCGATTAAATTTTAAGGTGCTTGTTTGTAGGTTGGTAGTTCCATCACATGGACAGGATTCAGTTTTGTTAAAAAGGCCTCCTTCATCCCATTCTTCATCATCGCATGAAGGATTGCTCGAGCGTATGTCTGATACAGCTAGCAGGACAGCAGCAAGTTCTTATAGTGGAATAGAAGGTATATCTATCTCAAGGATCATTTTGTTTTTTTGGACATTATTTATGGAAAAGGAGACTCAGTTTGTATACAAATATTAGCAGGAGGTGTGAGACGGGAATCAGGAGCAGCAGGAAACAAAGGGTCAACGTCAGAGGCCGCATCGTTCAGTGAGATGTTGAAGAAGAGTAATAGCATGAAGAAGGTGGCGGCAGAGTCATCTGATGCAACCGAAGGAAGCAAAGGTGGTGGTGGGAAGAAGAAAGGGAAGAAAGGGAGGCAGATAGATCCAGCTCTTCTCGGTTTCAAAGTCACTAGCAATCGCATTCTTATGGGTGAGATCCACCGTGCTGATGATTTTTAGCTTTTTGTTCTTCTGTACAAAATCTTTACATGTAAAGATTAGCTTCTCATACTTAGGCGTATAGGTCCTTCTCGGACAGATTTCTTCCATCACATTACACAGCACAAGAAATAAAATATTAATGTTTTTTTAGTTGAGAGTTTGTACTTGTTACAATGTGTAATTCATTGTGCATTGCCTACTCCTATTTTAAGCATCCACTACATCTGACCAGTGTGATAAAGCCACAAGTATAATTCGAAATTTAGAAGCACAAAGAAATGGCTTTAGTCGCAAAATAAACTCACGTATCTCACAACAGTTTTGTTTGGTTGAGGACTGAGAAGCAGTCGACTAGTCGAGAATGGTGACTCGCAACAAGCTTCTGTTATTCGCTTGAGCAACTTTCTCCATTATACATCTTGCTAAGTCTCAAAATTAACTAGGTATATTTATTGTCTCTCATGTTTTTTTTTTTTTTTTTTAAAGTATTTTGGATATACGAGTGTTTAGCTACTTCTGAAAACTTGAGGAATAAGGAGCCAACTAGCCAAGATGCGGACAATGAAATGTGGCACGTTAATGTGTATTTGGTTTTCCTTTTACACATGACTAGACAAATCAATTATACAACCTAACATTTTATTTACTTATTACGGTTGGTTAACGGTCAGAAAACAGAGAGCTTACATTAAAATCAAGATTGGCAAATGTAAAGAGTAAAAAAACTTATCTTCCAAAAGTAAAGCGATGCAAAATAATCGTAAAAACATATATACACAGAATTAGCAATGCACAACAAATACAAGAATCATTTACAAAGTTGAGAAATTGGGGACGTTTTGGCCAAACACACAAAACTCACAGCTCCAAAACGTCAGAAGAATGAAGTTAAAGAGAATATTAGAAGTTGATAAGAACGCTGGCCAATTGAGAAGCAGATGGTTTAATCTGATCACACACTCTCCATTTGGAACCTTTCGCTTTATCAAGGTCGTACATTAAGGTCTCATGTCCACAAACCCGTGAAAACAGGAGAACCTTATTGTTCCATACTCCTAGTCTCACCCAGAAACCTCCCTCTCTCGGAGGCACAAACACCGAACTCCACGAATTCTCCTCTGGATCAAACACTCCCAGATGGCCCGGCATGTTCCTGTCCATAAAATACACTTTATTCCTCACAACCGTGTAGGAATACACCGACACTGATTGCTCCGAGTCTAACTCTTCCCATGTCTGCGTTTTCAGGTCATATATGTCGATGAACCTCGATCCATTGCCTGAAAGATATCATCAAACTTAGTTTAACCCAATGCACCTTGGAATCTAATAGAGGTCCATTGTCTCCTACCTACAGCGTAGAGTTTGGAATTGAAGGCGAATGCAAAGCCGCGCCAAACAGGGCGGTTTGGACAATCCATGAGACTCCATTGGTTAGTGTCGGGGTTGTACACTTCCACGTTGGAAAGGCTATAAGTATCTGTGGAATAGCCTCGGATCACATACAAAAGACCGTTCACTTCAGTAAATGCAAAGTTGTAACGTGGTATGTTCATGGCCGCTAGTTTTCTCCAGCTGCAAATATTCCGACATGGTATCAGAATAAAACCAGACTGGACCGTTCTAATACCAATTAAGGTTTAAGAGAAGCTTAGGACTTTTCTTAGTTATAAATTCCCAAACTGAATAAGAATTTCATTCTTCAATTGCTTTGCCTAACAATCAAAAAGAATCTTCACTCATTCATTCATTCATTCATCGATTCCTCAAGAGTCATATAAAAAGAATCATCATGGAATGCCACATTTGATCAGATTGTATGAGAATTAGTGAAAGGTATAGATTGAGACTGAGACCTGTTAGCAGCAGGATCAAACTCGTAAACATCAGCAGAGGCAGAGACAGTGGTGCTATTGATCCCAGAGCCTTCAACCTCCGTATATCCTCCGAAGAACACAATCTTCCCGCCATCAAGCACTGCAACGCCGAAACCGCGCTTCAAGGGGCCAGGGACAGGAGGGATCTGGCCTAACTTGTTCCCGGAGACGTCGAAAACTTCCCAGTACACGTCTCTTCCACACTCGCTTTCCATCAGAACACACAGGAACTCCTCCACCGTTCCGGTCAACTTTCGAACGGCTGCAAAATGCTGGCTCCTGAGGAATGACCTCCATCGCCGGCACACCTGAGAAGTGATCTGAAAGCTAGACCGGGGGATTTTCGAGACACAGAGCTCCGCCACGTCATCCGTCAAGCCAGGTATGATCGGATACGACTCCTCCACCACCATCATCACGATGTTACTTACTCATTCCCTTAATCACTCATTGCATCATTTAATAATGTGCAAAAATTGCAATAAAAAAATGGTTTGAGTAATCATTTGGATAACATACAAAAGACAAAAACATTGACCAAGTGTTTTCGAATTTAAAATCAGGATTTTGTCAACTAAGCATATATAAACAACTGCTTACTTTTTAAAAGATAGAGACTTTCTATTCAACTGATTAATTCGTATATTTTCTTAAATTTTACTTACTCTTCCCCATAGAAAAGGATTGTGTATCAGACCATTCACATAGACAACATTGTAACCTTGAGGAAAAATAAGCCGCCACATCACTGTGAGACACCACCCAGAGGCAAGTAGAGCTAATCAACCTCCAAAATTTTTGCGCACTTTACTTGTATACGTGCTCTCTTCTTGTTTCTCTTCAAACTTGAATGACTATCTCGCTTCCACCTTTTTTCTTTTTCCAACACTCTAGTCTTGTCAGTTGCAGAATATGACTTTATCCTAACAGCTTGAAATTCCTCTGCGATGTCAGGCCTCATAAGCAGCACTTGTGGCGGTTGGTTGGCTCCACAGATACGGCCAAAGTAGTAAAGAGGGTCAACATACGATGATGATGAGACCACAATTCCTTTCATGCTCTTTGGCTTCACAAGTTTAATGAACTCTCCAATCTCCTCATAGCATGAATGATCAGAGTAGTGCACCGAGTACATATAGTCATGGAACTTATGCACTGCAGCCGCTTCTAATTCTTTCTGAGCAGAAATGGTTTCATTCTTCATACTTGCAGTAAGAAAAGAACCAGAGAGCTTGTCATCTCCTTTGAAAGGTCTTTTAACCCATGGGACACCAGATGGCATAATGCCGATAGTTGGGCACATCGTATTCAGCCCCTCGAGAGTCTGAATACTAAAACTATAACGAGGGACAGCCCGCACTCTTGTAAGAGATGTATCAGTAGTGAAAATGTCTTGGAAACCAAGGAGATGCATAGTACGAAGACGCTCTGGCCAAACCCAAATCTACAGGACAAAAAGAAACTCAAACTGTTAAATCCTTTAAGAAGATTAAAGAAAGTAGAGGATTTCTATAAGAAACCTTGACATTGAGAATGCGGGAAACATGAAGAAGTAGTTCTTCCTTCCCCAAAGAGTCAACTGCTATGATAACATCATGTGAAGGATGAGAAGCAATTATATCAGCAACCTGCAAGGAAAGGAGATGAGGTATATAAAGAGAAACATGATTCAGGGTTTAAGGTTATTTGGATTAGGGTTTAGGACGAACCAATTGAGCAGCGACTTGACGGGAAGGAAAACTGTAAATTGGATTGCAATAAGTGTTATCCAAATAAAGAATGTCGACGGGAAATTCGTGAATAGCATCAACGAGAATGGTTCTGGCTTCGTCTGATGCATCAGCATCCCACCGGAAGTCTCCGGTGTAGAGAAAACATCCGAAATCTCCCCGGAACAAAAACATCATGGAGCCTACCAGATTTATACCATCAAATTCAAATTTCACCACCGAGAAAGCAAAACCTTATATGTATAGAGTATACCAGGACAGTGGTGAGCATCGATGGCCATGAAATGGAGGACGACGGTAGAGCCGGAGGAAGGAGAGCGGAGGGAGAGAGATGTCCAGGAATAGAGAGGGACGACGCGAAGCAAGGAGAGGTCGAAGCCTGGGAATCGGGAGGGAAATAGAGAGGCGGTGATGCGGGAACAGTAGAGAGGACCTTGGGACCATCCGCAGGAGAGGCCACGCGTGTGATCGGAGTGCATATGAGTCAAGAAGTAAGCTTGACTTCCCTTTCTCCATCGATCCACTGATATCAGACCACTCTCCATTTCCGATTCTTTGAATTTTGCAGTTTCACCATTGATTTTTGTTTGCCCCCTTTGAGATGAATACATTCTTCTTTTGGGCCGTTAATTGGGCCTACTTTAATTTTCACAAACCAGGGAGAAATAGTATAAGACCAACGATGATAGACTTAACATTTTCAGCTAATCAATACGTTTGACAGACTTTGTAGTGTGTAGTATATTCTTCATATATTGATAAGTTTTGATCAAACTGGGTAAATCACTAAATTGTTCAATCACTCTCTCAATTTATTCAAGATTTAGAATGGGTTAACCAATAAATGCCAAGGATAAAAGAGAGGTTCTTCGAGCAATCCAAAAACCGATAATCATCATACTTAAAAATTGGGTCTGGTCTTATAGGAAAGAGAAGCTAACAAAATGTATTGAGGGAACACAAGTGAGCACAAAAAGATTGTCTATATTAGCTCAAGACGAGGCTCCTTTCTTTGACTTTGCTGCCAACTGTGTCTCCGGCTGCAAAAAACCCAACAGATATTATATCAGATCAACGATGAAGGCAAAGAATATCAGAATTTCACAAGATTCAAAAAGACGATAAGATCAATAATTTACCTCTTTCTTCACAGGCTCTTCCTTCTCTGACAAAATCAACTCAATGTGGCATGGGTTTGACATGTAAGCTGCAAAAGACAGAATTAAAATCAAGAGTCAGCACAACGAGAATGAAGAAACAAAAGTGGTAAAAAGAGTCAAATAGAAAAGAAAACATACGATTGATTCTTCCATGAGCCCGATATGTCCTTCTCCTCTGTTTTGCTGCTTGGTTCACTTGGATGTGAGAAATGAAAAGGGCATCAACATCCAAACCTTTGACCTGATATTGAAATGGCATACAAAAAGGTTTTAGTAACTGGCTAAATTCAGAATAAGAATAAAACCAAGAGTCAAAAACCCACCTCAGCATTGCTCTCGGCATTCTTGAGGAGATCAAGAACGAACTGAGCAGATTTAGCAGGCCAACGACCTTGTCCGTTAGAATGCCGGTTCTTTGCCTGAGCAGTACGACCAACACCACGACAGAAACGGGTGAAGGGGATAGCTTGCTTGTGAGCTATGACATCTTCCAAGTACCTTTTGGCCTTGTTCAATGGTAGCTTCCTTATGGCGTGCGCTGTTTCCCTAGTGTTCTGTTCACACAAATAAATTCCAAAAAGAAACTATTAGATTCACCAAAATCAACAAAAAAAAATTGTACTAGACTCAACTGTTTGTTTGTCTTTCACCTTACTAAATGGGTGATTTTTAATGTAAAACCACAAGCTATAAACATGTGTAAGAAAAAAACAAGAAATGTAGTTTCAATACTACTTTTAAACTGAGTGTACCAGCTAAAATGGCTACTAGTTCGAGCTAGTTTCAATGGAGGAAATAAATATATCCTAAATGAATTAAATCTGCCCTATTTTACAATACTCAAAAGGATTACAAGCTAAAGCAATAATGTACCATCATGTACTGAACCATATGCTATAAGAAGAAACATTGGCTCACCCATTCACAATGACCAATTCGATTTTCCTGACATTTACGTGAGGTCTGCTATATAAAACAGAACCCTGCTTTTTGTTAATCAGGTTATTTCCTAACTACAAGCTTAATCCCGGAAAAAAAAACCTTAATCTAATTCATTTTCGAGATTTGAAATCAGTACAAGAAATTTACCTTGAAGTGGACCCTGAGATCGGCACCCCTTGCCTTGCAAGCTGCAAACGCAAACAAATCGAAACCATTTCAATCAACAATCAGGAATCCAATAACAGAGGAGCTCAGAGAAATAAAACCAGAGACGAAGAAAGAGTTCTTACATTTGGTGGAATTGTCGGGCTCCTGAGAGTACTTCTTCACCTGGAGAAAAAACAATGATAAGGCGAAGAACATCAGCATATGAGCACAAGTTAGAAGTAAAAACTTGGTAACGAGATCAGTGTAAAGCATTTACCATGGCGGCCAAAGAGAAGAACAGAGGACGGAGAGAGTAGAGATCTCTTTATTTGGAGATACTTTATATATAGTGAAACATATGAAACCCTAATCGGCGAATACAGTGACTAGTTGATGTGGTATTTACTTAATGGGCCTTTTGGGCCACCTATATCACTTGATAAGTGGGGTATTGTAGTGTAGAAGATAAATTGGGTTTAGTTGATGTAGGCTCAAAAAGCCCAATAATGTGTTGTAAACACCGAAGACTTGTGTAGGCTAAAAGTCTAAAACCCTCAAAACTTGATTGATTCATATCAAGAGCTCATCGACTTTCCACAGTAACAGAACCACCGAACCCTAGATTTTCTTTCACCTGAATCTAAAGATGGAGTTCTCTACCGCCGACTTTGAAAGGCTTCTCATGTTCGAGCATGCTCGCAAAGCTTCTGAGGCTCAGTACCTTAACGATCCTCTTGATTCCGAGGTTTCTTTCTACTACTTGTTTCCTCTCTCTTTAGAAATCGCCGAATTGCTTCCTTTTTCGTTCTAGCTTCTCCTTTTTGTTGATTTCGATTATATGATCGGACATTAAATGTTGACAAATTTTTAAGGATGTTTTCATTTGTTTTTTTTCCTGTGTGATGTTTACTCTGTGTTGATACTAATCACTGTGTGTGGTTTAGGTCTTGAATTCGATGGAAGTATTAGAATTTAGGCTATGAGATTGATATATGTTTATCTGAGACTATATTTTCTGAGTTCCTTTTGGTTTGTGGTTTATATTAAGAACACCTTTGAATTTTCTGCAGAATCTGGTGAAATGGGGTGGAGCATTACTTGAACTTTCTCAATTCCAGAACATTCCTGATGCAAAGGTGATGTTAAATGGTATGAGTTCCTTCGTAAAGTCTTCAATAATCATCCTTTTGACTTCTCTCTTTGATCTAAATTTAACAAGTTATTGATCATGTAGATGCTATTTCCAAGTTGGAAGAGGCGTTGACATTAAATCCAGGGAAGCATCAGGCTCTTTGGTGTCTTGGGAACGCCTACACTTCCCATGCATTTCTTGTTCCAGATGTTGATGAAGCAAGAGGGCACTTTGATAAAGCCGCTGAATATTTCCAAAGAGCTGAAAATGAGGTACATCTTCAGATTTTTTATGCTTTTGAATTTGGAAAATATATGTTGTTGAGTGTAGTGACACCAACTTCTTCTTCTTCTTTTTTTTTAAAGGATCCAGGCAATGAGGTATATCTCAAGTCCTTGGAGGTCACAACAAAGGTAATATTTCAACTTTTAGTTTTTCAGTGTTTATCTTTGTGTACACAATTTATAACATTATGTGATGCTATAAAAAACAAGGAGAGAATCATTTGATACAATCGTCGGCTGTATTTCTTTTATGTGAATAGGCCCCAGAACTGCATATGGAGATACATAAGCATGGAATGGGACAGCAAATACTTGGTGGAGGAGGAGGAGGTCCTTCCGCTTCAGCGAATGTTAGCGTAAGTTATCATGTGTTTTGTTGGTTAGTGTGCTGCCCAATGTTTTGAAAAGTGTCATCTTCTTTCACACAGTTATTCTCTAGTAGCAAGTTCATGAGAACATAAGCAGAGAGTGAAAGAATCTCATATGTGGGTTATGTTTTTCCGTTTTTGCTCTGAGAAATTGCCTTGCTTGCAGAGTGGTAAGAAGAAGAGGAAGAACAATGACTTCACTTATGATGTATGTGGTTGGATAATTCTCGCGTGTGGGATTGTTGCTTGGATTGGCATGGCAAAATCCCTTGGCCCTCCACCTCCTGCTAGATGAAGCCTAAAGCCATAGTAGTGATGGGCATTTCCATAAGAAAGAATGCCTGCACACAAACACCTATTTACATTTCCTGAGCAGAGCTGTACTAAGTTGAAGAGTAACCGTTTGTGGCTATGGTACCAACAAATTGATTTCTTTACTTTATTATTAGGATGTTTTGTCTTTCGATTTCTTCTTATCTTTGTGGGAAGAGAAGTCCTTTTGCCATTATCTTAGCTTATGCTGTTATGGTTTTGTTTGTAGCACGATCTCTATGAGTTTCTTATTTACAGAAAGATACTGAAACTTCCTGTAAGAATAACCTTCCTATGAGAAGTGAAGCTCTAAGAAGTTAGGAGAAAATTTCCCGTTGCAATTGTGTGTTCTCAACTATAAAGAACTAAAATATGTATTTGTTACGTACTTTAATAATAACATACTCTTAACTAAACACCCTTTAGGATGATTTCGTGTGTGCTTCAAAGTCTTAAAATGATTAGATACGCTTGCTAACAAAAACACAGCAAAAGCAAATGTATATAGCACTTGTACATGATCTGTCTTTGCCTAGACTAGATCATGGGTAACTTTGGGGTTTGGTCCTCCTGATTCAAACGCTTGCACAAGTGTGATTTCCCAAAGATGATGGTCACAGAAGACAAAAACCTAAGGGCAGAAGGGTCCTTATACCTTATCCCTCGCCAAACGCCATAAAATTTTATAAATAACCAAACGCAGCGTTAAGTCTTTTCTACTCTCGACTCATCTCCAAAGAGAGAAGCTTGAAAAAATGGCTTGCAAAACGATTTTGCGTTCCGTTTTCGTATCGGAATCACGTCGAACTTCCGGGGCAAGTAGATGCTTCTTTCTCCCTCCTTCTCCAGTATCAGTTCCGGTCCATGGTTTGTTCCCGGCGCCAAAGAGTCTATGTTTCAATGGTTTTGCGTCTGTTCCCGAGCGGGTCACTCGGCTTAATTGCAGCCATAACGACCAATCCGATCAAGGTCCGCCCCAAGAAGCTGTTCTCAAGGCAATTTCAGGTGCGCGCCTTCGTTAATTTCCTCCTAGTAACTCATCATTTGAATACTTTTGTTCGTTTGGCCGAATGGAATTGATTATCGGATGCGATATGCTTGGATCTTTGATGAATAGGAAACGGAATTTTAGATTCGATTGACGTACTAGTGTTTGCCTTCGGCTATTTTATCCGGGACTCAAAAACTATTCCGTTGTGTCAATTTAACTAATCCTACACT